TCAGCTAAAAGCTTTAATGAGCAACACTAAGGTCAGCGGAAATGTTTGAACTTTATTATTATTTCATACAAATGCTGTAGGGATCCCTGAATCTCCCACACTTATTTTGGTCTCCAGTGAGATGTTCAGCATCTGGCTGTATTAGTTTATTGATTTCTTTTTTTAAATGGTTGTCTTTCAAGAGCCATTTAAAATGCATGTTTCTTCTTCTTAACATACTTGCAGACACACACACTGAACAAAGGCTGCATGGAACTGGGTCCAATTTTCTTTTGTAAAGAAGAAGTAAGCAGCGAAATGGTCTTTATAATCTTAGTGTAAATATTTCTATTTCTTTCTTTAGTGAAGAAATTATACATTTATACATAGCACACTTCCACTACTTTTACTACATTATGGTTAACTGCTGTTAATAGACTCGTGAAATATCAACTGTGCATTCTTTCAATTTATTACATCACAATCAAATGTATTATTTTGTGAAATCAATATTAACAATAATCATGTCCATTTAAGTGTGCACACTGTTTTGCAGACTGAATGTAGCACATAAAACTTGTTGTCTTTAATCAATAGAGATCCCAGAGCAGCTAATTGTTCTATGAATTATTAAGTATTCTTTTCACTTTCTGCATCCTACTAATATCAAGGGAACTTATTACTGGACCAAGACTCCAGCTGTTCTGTTTCTAGTATCTGCTCACATAAAAGTAATTCCCTTGCATGGTGTCTTTTGACTTTCTTTTATAACCAATCCAAATTGGTTTGGATAAAGACCACATGGGTGAAGTCAATATTGTAACGTGGATTGAAAACTGGCTGTCAGACAGGTCCCAAAACCCACAGTGAGCTGGTAGGGACAGATTAGGGGTAACAAGGACAAGACTGTCTGTGACCTGAATGTGGCATGGAGTATGTGGCATAAAACTGGGTACTTGGAAAGGTAACACTGTCATGCAGCAGTGAGTGCAAGCAAAAACAGTTCTAGGACTCAGATGTTCTTAAAATTTCTCTTGGAGATAATGTCCCAAATTCTTACCTGGAAAACAGACAGCTGCCAGACTACAGGGTCTTGATCTGTGAAGTCTAGATATTCCTTTTAGGCTTTGGGCTAGCTTCAGCTTCCACCTAAAAGAATTGAAGAGCCACAACCATCCTCTCCAAAGAGAAAGTGGGCAAGGAGAAGATATTTTTGTTGTAACACCTACAAGTGTTAACCTGGAGGAGGAAGAGGTGACAGTGGCCACAGACCCACTATAAAAGGACTTCTGCATCTTTATACATGATTACTGCAGCAGTTGCCTCAAAAATCAAGTTCCAAAGTCTTGGAGTTGCAGGATATTAAGGCTCCCTAGGTCTGGTTAGAAGGGACTAAGGCTTTCCACAGGTCTGAACCTAGTCCACCTCGGTACTGAGGAGTGTCTGAATGTTAATCCCATGATGAATGGTCTTCACAAAGTTAGCTGGTTCTGGTCCACATCAAAACTGGCATTAAACAGCAGTCTCAATAAAAGATCAGAGAAACATAAGCCAAATTAGGCTATCATCCTTGTAGATTGTGTTTGGGGTGCATTCCTAGGCTCTGGGGGAGGCTTCTAATGCCACTAACTTTTTTCCTTTTCACATGCACAGAGATAAAGATGGCCAGTTATCAGAGAGTGAAGCAATAACACCAAGTGTGTCCTGAAGACTAATGGAGCTCTGTAGGCATCACCCTGAAGTAACATGAGATAAAATTACTCTCAATGTGACAAAAACACTATATGTATTCAGAAGGCATAGGCTTCCCCTAATTAATCCAATTCTGAATAGTTTTCCACTTTTTTTATATAATTTTTTTTTGGGGGGTGGGGAAGGGTGGAGGTGGGGGGAAGGTTTTAATTCTGGAACAGATCAGCAAGATGAAAAATTCTTGCCTGAACAGATAAACCTCCTCAAAGCTGCAAGGGACCTAAAAAGGGATGTAAAAGTAAACGTGTCATGCAGTTCTATGACTAGGACACATTGCATCCCCTGTGTCACTTATGAATGAGCATGAATCATTCCTCACTTGCTGACAATGAAAATACAGCTTTGGAGGATTGAAATGTTAATTTCTATAAAGCCAAGATTTACTGAACTAAACAGAGTCATTTTGCACTTTAAAATGGCCTATGGTTTTCTCACTTTGGACTTGTCAATCTTTTCACCCAATGTGTTTCTAAATTCCTCTTTTACAGCTTAATGTAACACAGGATAATTTTATTTTAAAAAGTCAGACTACACCAGTAGGATTTAAGATCAATACTAAGTTTGTTATATACACAGAAAGTCTAATAATTTTTTAAGGATTTTCAATGAAGAAAGTTTAGCTAAAAAACTGAGCAACCTCCAGGATTCAACTATTTAATTCAACTGACCTGCTTGTAAAGCCTGAATAGAACATCTTGGCAACCAATTTGAAAATGTATTCTGAAGCCATGGATGATATTTCCAGATGAATAAGTAGCAGCATTCCTAAGAGTCATTTAGATGTGAACAAAAAGGATTATATGGATTTTGCTGGTTTATGGGAAGATATAAATAAAATACAAATGAAAACTTACCATATTCAAGGTGGGAGCAAGGTGTGAGCTGCAGCAGATAATCCTCATTAGTACAGATTCTCTTGGTGGAGAACAAGAAACCCATGATACATGTACATGCTGCACCAACACGTTATAGACTGTGGCTGTATGAAACCAGTAGAGCTTTCAGCTTACCTGACAGGAGTCAACTGAAACCAGAATTGTGCACTCTCATCTCTTAAAAGAAGAGGGACACCAGGGATTTTTGTCTGGTATTTTAAAAATTTTATTTTATAAATCAATAACTTTATAAACATACAAATAAACCAAATATATTATATTTGTATTGAAATATCATTTCAAGTTTTTACACTAAAGATTATTTTGAGTTTAGAGCTGAGTTTAGGAAACATTTAAATCTCCAAACACTCTAATTACAAAAACATATCAGCTTGGTTTCCCTATCTTATTCTGTAAAGAATATTATCGAATTTAAAGTTTGATCCTTGGAAGGAAAGCAAAGTAAACAAAAAAAAAAAAACCCAGGATAGAATAGCAAACTAATTTTTAAGGAGTCTGAAACATCTTTATTCAGGCAAGATTCAAAGTTACAGATCTTTATTTCTTTTGATTGGGGAAGCTTCCAATGAAATGTTGACTGTCATTCAACACAACACTTGCATTTTAAGCACAAAAATATACTTCACCAGAGAAACTCAAAGTGCAGGGATCAAAGTCTTTTTGCTGGGTATCTCTTGTGGGAACAAAATGCTTTTTTGAACTGGGGCCTTTAGACCTGGACTCTCTTCATGTTAAAATAGAGAAAATCAGTAGCTGAAAGACCAGGGAATCCAAACTAGATGCTTTGAACAATGTTAGTGAAATTAAACAATACCAAACTTAAAATCAAATCTATCAAATCCTAATGATTCAACACAGTTGTTGCCTGCTTCTGAGCACAGTTTAGTTTGCCAACACCTCTCAACCATTTCTCTTTCTGTGGAAGTACCCTTGTTACCATTCACACAAGAGAATGGGTCTTCACCGCTGGTAGTTCCAACTCAGCTTTGGAAATGAGTATTTTACAAGTTTGTTCTGAATCCAGAATTGCTGTGGTTAGCAAACAGCCTCAACAATTCAAAATTACTTTAGAAGTTAAATAAGTGACGACCCTCTACAAAATCAAGACTCGGTGTCGTTACTGTTTCAACAATGTAAAACAAAACTGACTTCACAAAGTTACTCCAGTGTGTAACTAGTTTGGATAAGAGGTAAGAGCCTTTCATTGCTCTTTCCCTTATTGGCCTACAGAACTGGCAAAAAAAAAAATAAATTACAACATTCCATACCTTTCTGGCAGGATTCAAAAGGAACCCAGAAAAGCAGAATAGTAAACACAGAAATTAGTAATAGTTTCCACTATCCTCCATCTTATGAATTACAGGGAACATTAGTGGTGGGCACCGTAGCAGAGTTTAAAGGTTACAACAGCAGGCTTCAAAAACAGAGGACTGAGAGCTCCCCCAAAATAGTAAAATCATTATTAGTAATTCAGCTGATGTTCAGGTATCTTCCAAAACATTCTGAAAACAGCCTTAGGAAGTCAAGACAAGTTGGTGAAAATCACTTGATGTCACAGAATGTTCTGAGTTGGAAGGGACCCACAAGGATCATCAAGTCCAACTGAAGTGAATAGTCCATAGAGAGTGAACCCACAACCTTGGTGTTACCAGTCTCTCACCTGCTGACCTCAGCTCTGCATACGACAGAGCTTTACAAGAGAGTAGATAACCTGATAGTGTTAGAAATCCAGTTACAAGAAAAAATAGTTCCGTTTTTCAGTTGTTCCCTCAGATTCAACAGGCAGTTGAGTGGAAGTCAGTCGAAACTGAGGTGGCTTTTTTGTGGTTTTGTTTCACTCCTCCTGTTCTTTTGGAACAGCAATTGGCTGAACATCTGTCCTCACACTGAGTCCTAAATAATGGACCAGGTTTTGGTGCCAGGCACACCTCTGTAAGACAAGGACAGCTCCAGCATATGCCTCTCTGCAGGGCTGAAGGCGGACACAAACCCACTTCCTCAGCCCAGAAATAATCTTGTTATGCTCTGAAGGACTAGTGTAAGCTGGGAAGAAATGGAGGAATCACCTTTCTCCTCAAATACTGCCCATGATTAATAGCATGTGCCTCCAGTACACAAAGCCTGAGAAATTAAAGATCCTATTTGGTGCTTGCTAGACACAAGAACATTTCTGGTGGAATCCAAGAAGTTGCACTGGTCTTTCAGCAGCACTGGGGAGAGGCATATAGTGCCCATAAAATCTTTTACTAGTAAGATCATTTTGAACTAATTTTTATGCATTATGCTCCATTCCTGTTTCTCTGCAGCTGTCCTGTTTCATTTCCTAGGCAGTTTCTAAACTCAGTGTGTGTAAAGATCACTACTTGCCCTCCATTCCTGTTTCTCTGCAGCTGTCCTTGTGTTTCATTTCCTAGGCAGTTTCTAAACTCAGTGTGTGTAAAGATCACTACTTGCAACAAGGTCCCTTAGAAAATACTTATCAGTGATAAATCACCCACTTGACTCTCTTCCTCCCAGTGACCTTTTAGCAGGCAGTTAATGAAGTTTGCAGCAGTGATACTTATAGAGTACTCATTGCCAACACGTTGCTCACAGTAATTCTTCCAAGCAGAGATGACAGGGAAGGAGTGGCCAGGACTTCTCTGTTTTGTTCTGAATAATGGTGAGTTTTTTCTAAAGCAGATTTTAATGGAAAAAAATGAGTGTTGCTTCAGTGTTTGTGAGTTCACATCTTTTGCTGACTTCTTCCTTTTCCCATTCAAACACAGACTGCTTCTAGTCTGGCTGCATCAGCAAGCTGGCTGGGGCAAGATTGCAAGGCTCCCTTTCTGGCAGGGGATTGGGATGGATGCTCCAGGGAGCCTGGGGAGGGCCCTTCACTGCTGCCGTGGACTGGCATGATTTCTCACCAACAGGACCCTCTTTTCGGTGGCCTTGTTCTTTCTCCTCTTCTGCCAAAGTCTCTGCTGCTTTATCACATGTTACAGGCTGTTCTTCCTCTGGAGAAAAGATATATATATTACTGAAAGACATGTGAAAAGATTCACAGCAGCTCAGCTGAAAGAAATGTAGTGACAGCTTTGAGAGAAGAAAGCAGCAAAATAATGCACAGAATCAGGTTGAATACCTGACAAAACAACAAGAAAAACCAGGCAAAGTCAAGAACTTGCTTCAGATTTTAAGAAATTACTTGTCCTAGGTTAGATTTGTGGTTTCCTCTTTTAATACATAACAGAGAAAGGCATGCCAAGACTACCTGCCTGGCAAAATTAAAGTCTCTGCTTCATAGTCAAAAGATCTTAGAATTATTCACTGGCATGGCATAAGAACTTCCTTTAACATGGTAAAAAAAAATACCAGATTATTTACTGATCTTGTTGTCTAAGAGGGTGGAACCATTTCTGCTAAAATTTTTATGAAAAATCATACACCTGTCATGGGAAATTTTTGTTCCAATACCTGCATCTGATAAAGCTGTAAAAGAAAACAGAGTCTCTTAATGGGAAACATCAGTCTTTCTTTGCTGGACAGTAAGGTTCTACACATGTTCCCAATATTAGTGCATCCAAGTAAATGTGAGGCACATTTTCTACTGATTAATAAAGTGACTACTCAGTGTATGTCTAAGGATAGGACTGGCAATTTTGAAAATCTTGCAAGATGCTTGGATGCTTGTATCCTCAAACATTTGTATTTGCCTATTTCTAAGTGGCAGAGGCAAACTGGCTTCTTTAGTAGCTTCTGCAATTAGGAAGTATATGTGTTAAATAAAACAAATGTATCTGGGTATTAGTCTTTCTCCATCAGTTCTCACCATCTGAGCAATTAACAGATTGCCACCTAGAAGACAGTATTTCCTAAAATTCAGAGTGGTTCAGCTGGTAATTTGAGGGCTATGGAAGCCCATTCTATGCTTCTGTGCCACCTGCTGCCTTTGCACCAGTGATGGGAGGCACATCTCCTCCATTCATCTCATCTTTGTTTAAGCACCAAACACTCCCCAAGCAGTGAAACACCTTGTTTAACACAAAAAGCAGAGCTGCATTTACTGCCATGGACTTTTCACACCTTTCTGGGTACCCTGCCTGAATGAATAAGGACTGTCAAACTGTTGATGTTCCATAGACATCCATTCCCCAACAGTATGATGAGCATAACTTCACCTGCAAAGCTCTGCAGGTCTATATTAATGCAAACATCCTATATTACTCTATCACAAGAATCCTCTGGCTTGTTCTGTGTGAAAGCACTGTTGTAGTGTAGTTTCTCATGATTAATCTGCAAAATATAAGACTGAATGGTCTCTTCACATCAATACAAATATGGGCTCTGCCAGAAATAAAATCTGGATTTCTCTGTCTCCTCCAGCAACCATTGCTCCTGCTGCAGCTGAGGAGAGATCTAATGAGGAAGGACATCCTACTCACCAGATTCTGAAGGACAGGCAGGATGATGATCTGCTGTCTCACACTCAATTAGATCAACTGCTTTAGTCTCCAGAGAACTGTTGCCCTCCTTAAAAACTGCAAACTGCAAATACATACAATATGCACAAAATTTGCAGAGCCCAAATTAATAAAAAACAAACTGGTTTTCTGAAACCCATGAGGCAAACTAAAAGGGCCACACTCACCAACCACAGAACAGGGAAAAAGGTCATCCTGGCTTCTGGGATGACCCCTTCCCCTGCAGGTAATTAAACATTTGAGTTGATGACAGCCCCAGTCTTTCCTTGAAAAGCACACAGTCTCAGTCTAGCTAAGAACTACTCACTTGCTTTGCAAATCAACATTTCCAATGGCAAGGACAAAAGTTCATGAAAATCAACCATCTCCATAGTACTGAGGGCCATTTAAAAATATTAAAGGTATCTGCAGGAATCTAGACATCAGGAAACTCTGTCAAACACAGGGAAGGAAGCAAGCCTCCTTTCCTGGCTCTCAGCATCTCCTGCAGGATGCAGTTCCATCACGCCACAGTGACAGTGGAGGTCAGAAGATGAGACCCTCTGGGGTAACATGCTGAAAGGACCAGGGGGAAAACAGAAAAAAATGGGGTAGAAGAAAGCAATGTGAAGCACTATGATGAAATTGTTCCGAGGAAAAGATGAAAAACCAGTAAAGGGGGGAGGTTTAAAGAGACAGGGAAGAAAACATCTGTAAATAAGATGTTCCAAACAAAGCACTGACAGATTCAGAGGTCCAGGTGGATAACTGGTGGATTTATGTGGATAGAACACACATGTAGCAGGTGCACCTATTTAGGCATCAGTTCATTTATGTAAAATCTGTACTCTTACAGCTGCTAAACCATGTGTGACCAAACCCCGGCAGAGATTCAGCTACACACAGTTCTGCAAAATATATTTGACTGTGCAGAGCAAAACAGTCGGTGGATGAAAAGTCTCAGAATAGCATCAAAATCCAGGCACATGCAGAAGTTTACCAAGGCTTACATATCAGTAGGACTAACCCAGCCTGGCTTATGGAACTCTAATATGAATGTAAAATAATATGAAGGCATATCCTCAGCTAATGTACCCTCAGCTAATTGCACTCTTGCCTGGCAGAAAAGATGTAAAGGGAAAAGTGAATGATGCTTGGTCAGTTGGTAGGTATAGTTTCAGTGTCATGATACCTAACTTTTGATGTGTGTGATAGCACAAAGTCTTGTTATCCTCTACATCAACCCAGAGAGGCAAGAACACGCAAGTCTTTGCACTCTCAGCAGCCTCACAAATGAGCAGTGGCAGTGAGGATCACCAAATGAGTGAAGTTCATGAGCTACTTACAGTTACTGCATACATAAGATACAGTCCCAATATGAAATCCTTTGTTAAGATCATTAATATCGTGTAGCTCAATAGTACCCAAAAATCTTAGAAGTTGAGCAGCTATAGTTTTCTGTCCCTGATGTAGTATAAATTTTTTCTATTTTTTTTTTTTTAACATAAAAAACCAATAACCTACTTGAAGTGAGTAGTACAAATGGACAACTTCCTGCAGCTTTTGGCAGCTCTAGATGTTCTAACCTGAGTGCATGCATGCATGAAGCCCTGGTGAGCCTAACAATCAATGGCTACATCAGCACAGAGCAAATCACATGCATGAAACCACAGCAATCGTTACTGAGTAAGCACCAGTAATTAGCAAAGGGTCAGTGATTTCCTCTTCCAGTGTCAACAAGCCATTGCAATAAATTATTAATGTATTCAATGTCTCCTGGTGCATAGTGAAATGTAACACAAATGTATAATAGCTGTAAAAGCTTGATTTGTTTTTGTTGATTCAGTCCATTGCTTAGCTGTTTAGTTACCTTACATTCAAGCAAAACTGTCACTGGTGACCAGCATTAACTGCAGGGTCAGCAGAAAGTGGGCACAGAGCTGATGGGCTGCAGGCCTCACAGAGCACCACTCTCAGGCAGTGAACTGTCCCAACAAATGTTTCTGATTTTCTCAACTTCAGCTATTTTACAAACTGAGGATTTTACTTCTGCTGTGAACAAATGATGGCATTGCCATATCTCAGCTCATATGCTGTGCAATACCTGAAGGAAAGGAGCTGATAATTAAATGTGCATAAGAAATGCATTTGACCAGCTAAGGAACAAAATGCCACAACCAGGGTCAAGTCAACTCAGTGCTGCCAACATATGTTTGACAGTGTGCTCAGTGGCTACCCACTCACAGGTCCTGCCAGACACTCTCACTGAACCATTTGCAAGGCCATTCTAAGAGTCTCAGACTGAGCACAGAAGCAGCCACAGATGCCAATTATGTCACTTGACAACTTCAAGTTCCAACTGCTATCACCCAGCAGCGCAATGTTATTCTAATGCCAGTCAGAACCAGGTCCTTAAACCGGATTTTATAGGGCTAAACACAGCTTCAAAAATGACAACAGCCACAGGCCTGTACAACCAGACCATGTTGGCATTCTTACCTACACCAGTGTAAAACTGGAACTTTATATACCCTACCAAGCTGCCTGATAAAATCCTGGTTGTTTTTCTTTACAAGGCAGCAGCTTCTAATACAAGACATTTAATTTCATCAAGCCTCAAAATAGAGTTCAACATCTCATGTAGCACACACAATACTTTGGCTTCCAAGAAGGCTTTTTTACAGAGGGCATACTTTCCTGTGAAAATAACTGTGTGATATGCCATGTCATCACATTGCCATTTCCTTAATTTAGAACACAGTTCCCCAACTGTTGTGTTCAAAGCTAACAATAACACTGGCTAATGGTTGCAATACATCCAGGCAGCTGTGAACTTTGAGGGATAACAATGAGGTAAGATGAACTAGGGTTCACAGCAAAGCACTTGATGACTCTAGCAGTTATTTAATGTATTTAAGATGTGAATTATTTGATGGATAATCTCAAGTGGATCCCTAACACTCTTTGATCCTTCCTGATTCCCTCTCCACTCCACATTAATATGGTTACCAGAGAGTTGTTGCCAGTAGGTGTTACGCTCTCGTTGTCAGCGCGGCTGCTGGCAGCTCTTATCGCCTCTGCACAGAGATTCTTCTTATACAAATTCTGACTTCTGCAACAGAACAAAAGCTGAAGCCAATTATTTTGCTTTGAGAGGAACAGATGCTTTTTTCACACATTATTCTATCAGTATTCACAGAAGTACATCTATTTTGTTTTCTCTCACTGGTTTGTGTATTGCTATCCATTACCACACAGTGATTAAAACAAATAGCTTGTCAGAAAAAGAAGTCAGTAAGAAGTGTACAAATGCTTGTTCCAATGTGCCATCTGTAAAGGGTCATTCATTGGAATGAACAATAGGCCTCATAATTTTAACTAGACCCTTCCATTTTCTCACATTATTCTATTTATAATACATTTATCTTACAAAGATTTGTTTCAGCCAATGCAATGAAGAGTATTTGTGGGTGAAGCTCAGAAATAAAAAGCTGACTGTATTTTTGTACAGTGTTGGTAGCTGCAATTATGAAAGTCACTTTTGTATTCATCTGTATCATTTACACAAAACAACAGTTTCAGAAGTTACTATAAAATAAAAAAACTGAAAGTCTCAAAAAGCTTTAATAAGCTCTTCCAGGAAAAATTCGTGATCCACAGAATTGGCTTTGGGGGAAAAAGCTATGGGTACAGTCTGGAGCCACAAAAGGTATGAATAATCAGCTCTAAGAGGCTAGTTCCATAAATTCAAAGACAGTTATTTTTGCAGTTAAACAGCAATCCCTTATAAGGCAGTATTAAAAGCCCATATAGGCCCAAAATAAAAAAAAATATTTTACTTCTCTTAAGATCTAAATCAGTACATTTTTATTCACTTTACAAACACATTTTTGTCCTTCTAAGCATCAGCTGAAAAAATTCATGCTACAGTCTTCAAATTCTGGAAGTCTGAGTTTATATCATCCTTTTGCTTGATCTGTTTTAAATAAAATTCAGTAGATATTTACCAATTAAAATTGGAATTTTCCTTTTATTTAGGAACTTTCCTTTTATTTCTACATAGCTCTAACTGAGAAAGGTCACATGGCATAATTACCATATATTGCTCCCTTCATGAAAATACAGTGTAAATAAATTTTGCTTTGTGTGGCCTTGACCAACTGAGGTGGAGAAATTGTTGGTGTTGAATCTATGTTTCAGGTTTGGCTTTATTTTTGTGGTAAAGAGTTGTTTCTTTTCTTTCCAAGAAAAAAAAGAAGCTTGGCACACTCTACAGTCAGACTGCACAAACCTAACTTTTAGAATCACACAGTGCTCTTCAGCAGACAACAGTCATTGAACAAACCAACACAACACTGCAGCACGCTCGGCCTTCAGTTCCCACAATTTCAAATTGGCAGGTGTAGACCTCCAGCTTCATTTCCTTCAATTAAAAGGAGATTGGCATCTCCTTTTTTGCAGGGGAAGGAACAGGACTATCAAAGACTTAATCAGTACATTTTGAAATTCAGTAGATTATCTGAAAAAGTGGTATAGCAATTTCAACCCAAATACTGGTTCCCAGACTCCAGTTAAATAGGGATTTTAGATCAGCGGTTTAATTTTGATCTAGTTATGCTAGTAATTGCTGCAGTTCAAACTCAGTCAAGTGTGTAATTGAAAACCTGTTGTTGTGGTAAATAGTTATATTGATCAAAAGCATTTGGCAAGAAAGAAACATAAATCTGGGAGAAATTACAAAAGAGAGAGGAAGGAAAGAAATTTAATACTTTCATACCTTTAGACGAATAATATTCTGTCTTTTTTTCATATGATAACATATGAAATATATGAGAAATATAAGAATCTCACAATTTTTCTGTTCTTTATATATCCACTGATCAAAATCTGAACCCCAGGTTATGAGAAAAATCCAGGCTGCCCTTAGCTTTAATTCTGGACCCCTATAACTAATTAATAGAAAAACAGAAATTTTGCTGTTCCCTACTCTTGTGGACTAAATATGCCAAGAACAATTAAATAAGAATGAAAAATACTAGCTTGCATAGTTAACTTCTTTCATAACTTAACTTTTTATGTCTAGGAGAATCTAATTTTAAAATTGACCTAAACCACAAACAAAAATCTGGCATTTAAATCAGCCTCTGAGAACAGCTGTCTGCCAAGGTCATGGCCAAAAGACTCTAGCTTAAATGCTTAATACTTTCCAGTCTAAGGGACACCGATGACATTTAATTTCACATCAGACTGGGTTCTTAAATAGTGGCCGTTGGAATTCTTTTTGCCACAGGAAGAATCCCAAATCTGCGCAATTCATTTCAGCCATGGAAAATGCCAGGGAGTACTTTTACAGCAGATGTGCTTAGACTCACTCCCCTGATTTTACTCTCTCTACTGCCAGGAAAACTGTTTCCATGTCCACTGCTAGAAGCATCACTCTGTAACTTTGCCTTGGGAAGGTTAGTAGGCAAAGCAAGATTTTCAGGTGGAATTCTACACTCAATGGGAAACAAAAGCCAACTCATTGAGTAGCTGGCGGAGAAGAGCCAACCTCTACCATGAGAGCTTCAGACATCTAGAGCTGTGAAGGGAAAGGCGGGGAAGAAGTAAATGACATGTTCCTGAGCTCTAATAAAGTCTATTCATGAAACCATGAGAGCTTCAAACTTTTAGAGCTGTGAAGGGAAATGCAGAAAGAAATAAATGACATGTTCCTGAGCTCTAATAAGGCCTGTTCTCTTCATGAAACCATGAGAGATTCAGACATCCAGAGCTGTGAAGGGAAAGGCAGGAAAGAAGTAAAATGCATGCTCCTGAGCTCTAATAAGGTCTATTTTTCTTTCCAGACATGTTTGCTCACTAACATCAGTGTGAGTTCTGGGACACGCCAGAACTTTCTGTATTATTCACAGAGCCAGTTACCGAAAAGGAGCTGCCATCAGCTGGGCTCACGTTCTCGGCCGCAAGCCCAGGGTGAAAGCAGCAGCCCAGCAGCAGCCGTACCTGCGGCAGTAGGCGGCCAGCCCGGCCAGCAGCAGCAGCAGCAGGGCCAGCCCGGCGGCGCCCGCGGTGATGGCGATGCTCCGCACCTTCGCCCGCCCGGCGCGCTGCTGCTCCCACCACTCCAGGTCGCTGAACTGGCAGCGCTCGCCCACGTAGCCCGTCACACAGCTGCCGGGGAAAGAGGGCACACGCTGCAGGGTGGCGGGGCACGGGCACACGCCGCCACCTCCGTCACCTCGCATCCATTCCCCACCGAGCGCCGCTACAGAAACATCTGGCTCGCTTTAGCACGGGGGAGACAAAATCATTTTAAAGGTATGCGGTTGAAACCTGGAGAATCCAGTATTAAAAGTCTCTTTATTTTTCTTTTCTCTCTCTCTTTTTTTTTTCTTTTTTTTTTTTTTTTCCTGTACCGTTATTAGGTATTGAATCGCCTATAGAATTGTACAGAGAGGTTGTCGTTACCAGACTCCTGTGGGTTAAAAAGTAGGGAAATAAGTTTCTCAAATCCTGTAAATCCTGCTGTGTGATGAGTGTTTCCCTAGGATTTTCCATTAAACTTCTTTCAGCAGCAAGCTTCCCTTTCTTTAAAGTAGGCAGGGCAGGACTGACTCATATTTTTAGAGTGAGTTGATTAAGAGAATAACATTTTTATCTGAATCCTTACTCTAAAATTCAAGATGAATGAAAGTGTTTAAAAAACCCATGCATAAGAAATATCTTCAAAATTTACTTTTAATATAAGCTTCTTCTAGCCAGTTTTTGTTTATTTGATTGGTTTTACCACTGTAAAACCCAACACGGAAATAGCCTATCAATGCATGAAACCCTCAAATCAAAATTACTAGAACATGAGAAATACATAAAAAAATAATCTCAGCCTAGTTTCGCTACACAAGGCAAGACATAAATTATTAATGGAAAAAATGAAATGTCTATTCAGTTCCTAACAACCCCTCAGCAATGTAGGCTCAACTCATCACAATTCTAATTGGTCTAATTTTATTCAAGTCCAAGATCTAGTCAGATGAGAAAAAGAAGCAGGATTTGACCTGCAGCAGCTTTTACCTATTGTCATGAAAACGTTATATCAGCATTCATTATTAAGTCAGACACAAGCACTCTCATTCTGTTAAAATTTAGAATGCGTGTGCGCTGAAAGGCAGAAAAAAATGCTAATTTTTTAATGGTAAATTACAATGAATTTCAAACATGCTGGCAGATCTACTTTCTAGTGTATGATCTTTTATTAATTAAAATACAAATGTGATTTTTGCTGCATAACATTTTTCTATTCCTTCCCTTCTGTAGTTAATAAATCAGAGCCTACATGAATGAATGCTGCCATCTAGTGAGGATTCAGCGGGGACAGAATACAGCAACACCCACACACAAATCCCAACGGCATGGCTAAGCATGGTTGCTCTTAAATTTTTTAACTTCTTCCACTTCCAAAATTGAAAAATATGTAGGTTTCAATTCTCATTATGCACTAACACCTAACAAATAAAACAAAAAAAATGTGTTATCCCATTTGAAAGTTCTGCAGACTCTTCAATTTTGAGAGAAGAAACTTCTGAAGTGAAAATAGATAGTTTACTATGTCTCTAAAAGTTACACTAAAAATCCAAAACCAGCACCAGAGATGACCATGAGTCTGTCTCCCATAATTTCTTTGCCCAAGGGCTTTGCTGAGCTCAAGAGATCCACAGCACAAAGCACTGACTTCATTCCCATATATGAGACACACTCATGAGACACACTCCTTTCATATTCTTACAGATACAGAGGGCTGTAGGGAGGGGAGACCACTCATATTTCAAAACAGAGAGACACAGCTCACGAGACACACTCCTTTCATATTCTTACAGGTACAGAGGGCTGTAGGGAGGGGAGACCACTCATATTTCAAAATAGGAAAGCCTGAGAGACAGAGAGAGATTTCCCTACCCTGGAACAGCATCCTGGGTACAGGATGCTGCAGAGAGACACAGAGAGAGATTTCCCTACCCTGGAACAGCATCCATCCCCTGTACAGGTCCTCATTTACCACCTGTGACCCTGGGGGAGGAGGCAGGCATTGGATTTGGGTACAGGATGCTGGAACAACATCCCCTGTACAGGTCCTCACTTACCACCTGTGACCCTGGGGGAGGAGGCAGGCATTGGATTTGTCCCATTGCAAAGATTTTATGCTTGATTTTGAAGAAAGATTCTGAGTATAGCTTCAAATATAATCAGGTTACACACTTAAATGCCAGCACTAAATGTTTTGAAGATATTACTACCCCATGGGACTAGGTTGTTACATTGACCAAGCCAAGGCTGACTTCTGGAGAGATGAGATTCTCCTTGCTTTTATCAGTACCTGCATTTGGGGAACCCAGAATTAGGCTTCACAAAAATATTGACAGGGTTAAAAATATTGACAGGGAAGTAGGTGTCAGACCTCAGTATTTGAGGTCTCATTATAACTCTCCCTGTTTTTAAGAGGGAAATGATATCCTACTCATTTCTGCCTTTCTGTCATGGAAGATGCTGACACCAAAAGATTGCTAAGACAAGACAGAGGTGTCCTCTTCCATCCCACTGTATGCTATGTGAACAGCAAGGCCAGCAGGACATGTACAGGAGAGAGAGCAGGCACCACTTTCAAGTCATTTAACAACTTACCTCCCATCTCCAAAGTAAAAAATCAAGTGCTTGGGGAACAAATCCAATCCTTGCAATATTAATTGCTATGGGTGTGAACAGAGTGGCCATGCACTGAAAATTACATGGATCATTTATAGGAAAGAGGAGATTTGAATACTAATGAGTGACATGAGGGATGAACAGATCATTCATGGACAAACTCTTCACTGCCTACAGCAAACTGAGGGTAGCATTCCAAGGGTGCCATTCTTTAGCAAAGAAAATACAAATTTCTGTACTTACTTGCAGGCATAGTCTTGTAGGTCAGAAACATAATTGCACACTCCACCATGGAGGCAGTATGACTCGTAGGAAGGAGGACACCCTACAACATCACCTTGCACAGCCTTTGTAGTGTACTCATTGCTGGCAGCAGCTGGGGGAACAGTAGATTCTGAAACAGAGGGTTTCACAAGGACATCTCAAACCTTTGGCCTCATTGGCAACATAATCTTATGAAAGAATTCCAGAACTTCAAGGTACTAAACTAGATAAAATTACCCAATTTCTATTAATTACTTGTTTTTACCTATTTTCTTATGCTGTTATCAAACTTAGGCAAGCAGAAATATAGATAAAATTACTAAATATTATATATTGAGGAATAAACATTATTTATAAATATACATTATATATTATTATTATATATAAATATTCTTCTCTTTATATAATACATAATTTATTATTTATAAATACAGTTTATAAATATATATTAATATATCATGTTATTAGTATGATACAATAATATCTTAATATATTAATATAATATATAAATCTCTAAATATTTTAGATTTACAGTGAAAGACCTACAGTGATTGACTGAGTTCTGTGTGTTTAGATGTATGAGACCAGTCCTGAAGAAAAACTGCACCAACTGTCTAGGTACTTACTCTGAAATTATTTTTGCAACTCATGCAGCTTTGACATATGGTAAATCTCTACCATGCATAAATCACCAGGGTGAGAGGCAGAGGTGAAGGGTGACTGTATTTCATACACTTGGATCTCACACTCAGAACTTTCACAAGAAACTTGTCATTCTTATGCAGATTGCTTCTACTCTGCTGCCATTCAGCTAATTGCACCTAGGTGTGATGGCAGATCACATTTTTTACTGTTTCAGGCCAGCTCAGGTACAGATAAGAGCATCACTGGGGGAGCAGGGAGCCCAGTGGTTCTACCAAAGCATTCTGCAGCCTGCTGCGAATCACACATGTGGCCACCTACACACCTATCCAAACTAGCTGGTTGTAAAGGTAGCACTAATGTCTCTGCACAGCATGACCACAGTGCAGACATGCCCTTACAGAAAAGGGCTGCTTTCATGCCTACTTTGATGCTACAACAAATCTATTTGTTCTGTCAGAACAAAACAGCTACACGGCAAAGAATTTCTGGCAGTATGGATTGGCAGAAACACACCTAATCATTCTCACACAATTATGGGGTCAGTTCTATGACTCACACCAGTTTCATTGCAGCATGACCTTCAACAGTATTTGGGTTTTTAAATTTCATTTGCAGGAGAACTGCCATGGCAAAGAGCCTGAATGGAAAGGGATGAGTGATTGTAGTGAACCCCAGGTGTGCATGCATTCAGCAAGGAAAATTTCATCTTGCTAAAAGAGCTTATTAGGCAAAGAGCTAAAACAGTGTGCTAACATCTATAAAGACATGGGATCAGACTGACACATGAAGGGCCCAGGAAACATTACTTCCAAGTCATGCATCATTTAAAATCATCATTTCCTGAGTGACACCTGAAACTACTGAAAGATTAAGTGACTAAAATGGGAGTGGGAATCCTGATAGGTACTCTATTTAAGAAAGTCCTAATTTCCTTGTTTTTCTGAAGAAACAGCTCTGTGACAATCACACAATGTCCCTCCATCGTCAGAAAGTCACTCTGGAGTAAAATTCACTCTGACCAAGAGGGCTGACACAGAGTAAAAGAATGAGTCACTCTCATTTTTAGAGAATTATGGTACCTCATTGAGGCGCCAAAATGAAGGTCAAATAGGCACTAGTGCTGAACTTTTAGCAGTTCCCTTCAGTAAATTGATAATCAGATTTTCTAAGGAGTTTCAGAGCCCTTTTGAACAATTAGTGACTGGAACTGAAAGACAAGCTTATACTGAAGAACCAAATGGCACTTAAATCATGTGCATTTCCTCTGCTAGCCTACTGCAAAGTAACAGAAGGCACAGGGAGTTTGAAAAATGGCACAGACTGAAATTATCCTCAAAAAATGTTACTTCTAAGGAGCATTTACTTCTGCTGTATATTGTAAATGACATTTGATAGATTTGTTGGTACATTTAGACAGCAAAAAATTTACATTGAAGTAGATTAATGTATATATTTCCTTAATGTAGATATTTCCTTACTAAACTTGGATCTGTTCTCGGTAGTTCACCACAAAACAGCCTCCTAAAGGCAATGCTAAATGGATCCACAATCTGGTCCAGACGTTACCATACAGGGATCCTTTAGTTTCCAGGTATAACAATTTATCCAAGGACACAGCTCTTAATTTAAGGCCACTTTGTTTTGTTTGCTCACTCTGTTTACTCACTGCAAGCGTCGCCAGTTCCAGAAGCATGATCAGCACACGAGCAAGTGAAGTTTCCTTCTGTATTTGTGCAGGTCATGTTCTCTCCACAGGTGTGGGACCCCGTCTTGCACTCATCAATATCTGTACCCAAACAGTCTGCAGTTAGAAGAGTGAAATGCCTCAGAGCAACAGCTAAAAGGGCAGCAGTAGCAGCACTGTGCTCCCCAGGCAGTGGGGGAAAACACCACAGATCTGTCCCTCTGCAAATATGCCTTCATGGAAAGCCTAATAGAAAAGCAACCAGCATGCTTTGTATAGCAAGAGCATGCTGTGCTGATGCAGAAATTCTCCATGGGGAGAAGAAGGGAAAGGCTTCCCCATGAAATGTAACTAGTGCAGCAGAGTGGAAAAGGAGACTTATTTGTACCAGAGGTATTCTCCCAGCAGCCTGGATCCTTATATTGGCATTCCTGCAGTAACACAGCAGAAGGGTTGGCAGTGGGGAGCTGCCCACCCCTGTACCACCCACCTAGTGCAGCCTAACAAGAGTTGAGGCAGAAGAAAAGTGTCTAGAAATCTACAAGTTTATTCAGTTTGTGTAAACACCACAATGAGTGAGGTTTTGAGTGACTGTGAAGAGGCTCCCTGGCTGCAAGAGTTTCCAGGCTCAGAGACCATGTTAGGTTCGTACACATCTCTCACCCCCATTCTGCTGCCCACCCTTCTCCTGCTCCCACACCTTCTCTCCAAAGCCCATGGCAGCAGCTCCAGCAGGCTGGCCACCTGCACCTTGCTAAGTACCAAAGCACCCCCCTCAAAGGTGAAACCTTCGGTTCACACAGCAGAGTTTGGGAGCATCTCATTCATTTTATGGACCACCAGCAGAATACCTGTGCCGGGTCTACTTCAGGGAATCACAGGTCTGCCACCCCAATTTTTGTGAAATGATTGCTTAAACTGCTTGGAATTTTTTTACAGTAAAATTAACACGATCTAGCACAAAACAGTATAGAAAATTCAGAACACTTAAATAAAAAAGGTGAGGGGAGGGGAACACAACTGCTGCAGCATATTTCAAGAAAGATGATTTCACCAACACCACATTAACTCATTGTGTGATATCACTGAACACACCATCACATTCCTGGACACTGTGCATGCATGCAGGTGCTTACAACTGAAGCACAAAATCACTTACCTGTTTCTGGCTTTTATAGCATATTTGAAGTCATCAAACACAAAATTAGTCTCAGTTATGTTTACATCTTAGTAATACTACATCTTTTGTCAGCTGAGAATCTATTTTCTGGGCTTAAAGGCTTCAGGAAGATAATATACTGTTTTTCAATGACAGTGGAAGGTGCTACATCCTGGACAGTTATTCCACAGTATAGTGGTAAATAAGACAGTGAGAGCCCAGGGCTGCTTGAGGACTTGCCTTCTAGGTTGTGCTGGGTCAGCAAGAGGACCTTGTCACTTCTGTGTTCACCACCTGCACTTCCAAACACCCTCAAAGACATGAGCTCTAGCTCTGACCCCTGCAGGCAAAAGGCCTTCTTGATTCTTCTGCCTCAGATACTGTCCACACTCTAACCTTAATAGTGGTACTGTTCTCAATTTCTCAGTCATCCTAATCAGTGTTGAAGAAGCAAGTCCAGTAAAGATTATGTACGAATTAGTTCAACTTTATTGGGATTTGAATTAGGCTATAAAGGAAAAAAGTAAAAGAAAAGGACAAAAGAGAAGGCAAGACTCTCATAAAGCTCTGAACAAACTGTGTGCTAGTCAAATACTAGGGAGAAAAAGCTTCCTGTTCATATTTACCACTAAAATGGATTAAGAATTTAAGAGACGTAGGGAATGAACTAAAGACCTGGCATTAGAGCTGGATGGGAAAATCAGTGGGTCTGATTATTAACAAGACTCTAAATGTACTCAAGTTGTCAGTGTCACACCTTGAACCTCATGCCTATTAAACAGACCTGGAATTATTTGATGAGTATTATGACACACTCAATACCTGCTTTCGTTTATATTCATGGCAACGATTTCCAATAAAGCTCTACTGCTTCACCTCCACTTCCCTCCTCCTCTCCCTCCTTCTATAGCCATTAAAAAGAGTGCAAACACCGAGAGGAGATATTCACTGACAACTACAAGCTTTGCATATTGATCAATTGCTGATGTTACCACACTTCAAACAGGGAGGAAGGGACCACAGAGGCAGAAATGCCTCAACCTTCCGGAGACAGCAGAGCCCTCCCACATGCCCATACCATAGCAGTGGACTCCATCTCCAGTGTAGCCTTCCAGGCACTCACAGACGTAGCCCCCGTCCGTGTTGATGCAGTCGGACACGCTCCGGTTGCAGCGGTCCACGCGCGCAGCGCACTCGTCCACGTCTGCGGGACACAGCAAGGGACAGGACACTCGGGTCAGGCAACCAGCACATCCGTCACTACACTGAGACATCTGCACCATGGATCTCCCTCAGACTCTGCTGCCACTTGGCTTTGTGCGCGTGAAGCAAATGGGAAGAGAAGGACTTTGTGGTCTTTTTTGGTATGAAATTTGAAGGGGCTGTTCTAAAATCCAAGAGAGTAAACAAACTGATATCACAAATATCATTTTCTTAAAAAAACCTGTTCTGAGGAAATTATCTGAGTCAAAAATAGCTTTACATTATAGAATCATAGAATCTATTAATTTGGAAAAGACCTCTAAGAGCATTTAGCAACTTGGTTTTATAAAGGAACATATAGGCTTAAAAAAATAAAAAGTACTACAGTAGAAAAAATGTATGCCCATTTCAGCTTACAATTTTTTCCCTTTCCATAGTAACAGAGATTCTTCTGACTCTCTTCATGCTTAGCCACCAAATGGTATTTTTTTCCTAACATCTTCCTCTCTTGACCTTTGTGAGAGCAAAACAGTTATTCCATTTATGTTGCAAACAAGTCCAGAAACTTAAAGACCACCCTGAGCAATGTTTTGTATGGCTGTTAGAGTCTTTCTAGTGCTTGAAAGAAACTAGAGAAGCACTTTTATATAAATAAATCATCATGAATACTAATTTTGAAGAGATTCCTTATGTCTAAATTACACATTAACTATCATGTCTATGGACTGAGCTTTCATATTTAGTCAATTTTTATAAATAAATACATTATATTTCCATTATCTGTGTTATTTCTTGTTAATATTAATAGGATTAACACTCATGGCTCAAGGGGAAAAAAAAGGCATGTGATGATTAGCCATTTCATCTCACATGTTTTCTGCTCATCATCCCTTTCATACTATTGACTTTTTTCTGATGCCTCACACAGCTGAGCTGCCAATGTGAAAGGAGATAGATTTTCTTCCTCCCTCCACAGCCTACAATTTTTCAAAAGTTATAATAATATTTTTTATTACCATAGCATGATTTCCCCTTCCTGGTAAATCCTTTCAAACACTGGCACATAGCACCATCTTCCAGCAAAACACACTCTGCATTGACATAACATTCTAGTGCAGTGCAGTCATCTTCATCTATAGCATAAGCAAAACAAAACAAACAAAAAAACCCACTAGATGTATTTGGAAATATCAAAGGAGGTAGTATGTATCTATGTTACAGAAAAACAAACTAAGGAAACCAGAACATACAGTCAAAGTTTGAAACTTAGCTCTCCAGGATTAATAATGACAAGCCAATACAATCACTGCAGCTGTTCTCTTTGTCTAGATGGTGTTGACATGTCACTTAGTAGGAGGATTTCTGAATATTTTATTCAAAACCTATTGCAAAAGTTAATGATCTAGTGTCATCAAAGATACGTAGAATCCAAAGGGCTTATTTTAACTTTTTTTAAAGGAATGCAATATACTTAAAAACCTGAGGGAGAGACTTTCTCAAGTGTTCCAAATCAGAAATATTTGTTCTTTAGACCAGGATAATATCTTCAATTTTTGTTGATATAGCCAAGGAATAGAGACACAAACAACAAAAAAAGCAGTCCTATCTGGAATAATTGCACAGACCCAAGTTCTTGTTAGAAGCTTAAGAGCATGAATACCAGTCTCAACAATTAACCTTTCTTTCTTTAAGGTCTATTACTTCTTTCTGCTCTATAAACCTTTTCAGAGCATCAGAGTAAGCATAAGGAAGATAACCATCAGACTATACCTGACACCATGATTTCAGCAGTAAAAAAAATTTTCTTCATTTCCCCATTGTCTGCATCCTTAAAAATCCCAGTGCTCCGTGTGCTCTGGAGCACAGTCTCTGGTGGTGGCATTGGCATTACCTCCTTGTGCACAGAGACACTTCCTGAAAAAGACAAGAAAAAAAGTGACATGGACTATTTAAATCTACTGAAATAGTTATCTGATTTTCAAATACTTGTCTACTTTCCAATAATCACGGTGGTTTCCTTTTAAAATAAATATCAGTATCTTCCCAGACTAACCTGTTTCTGACACCAAATTATTCCTAAAAACACTCACTGGTGAGTTTTCTCAAATACAAAAGAGAAGAAATGTGACTTGATGCTCACAATAATTGTCAGCATTGCACACACTTTTTTCACTGCTAAAATGCCAAGGGAACAGTGGTCAGACAACATGTCTGTTGTCCCGTCCCAAGAACAATCCTCCAGCATTTTCATTCTTCACAGAAACCATAATTCCTTATGTTAGAGCAAGGTGAATTTTTCCAGTGCTATCTGTCATGATCCTCAAGGATTTGAGAGGAGGCTTTTTGGGAACTGGAGGACTGTACCTGCTGTTGAGTTGGAAGAATCCAGAGCATGACAGGATTTTCCACCTTGAGTTTTTACAAATCCTGGATGGCACTTGCAGTGGACAATTCCAAAACTGTTTTCACAGATCTGATCACAGCCTCCATTCTCATAAAGGCAAGGATTTGCCCCTAATGAAGAAAAACAGGAAAATTAACAAACTGCTTCTTCAGTAAACATGTCTGTTTAGACAGGCAGAGTTGGAGCATTTGGAAAATGAATAAGGACTGACAAAAACTAGGATTTAATTATTTATTTTTTTTTAATATAACAACAAATGCATAGAGTTAAGCATAGATATTATCACCTAGCCCCTGTCAGGAAAGGAGATTCATGTGCTCTGTATCTAATGCATATACCACATTTTTATTTTTTTTTTCCTTCATTGTTTCTCCTTTGATATTTAGAGTCCTAATGCTTCAAGGACATAAGGAACCTGTGATTACCTTCTCTCAATCCTGGTCTATTGAATTACTCGTTTCTGCTTACAGGGAGATTGTTCCCAACAGAGAATCAAATTATTTGATCAAAAATGAATAAATCTCGCAAAATCTTTCCCTATGTCATTTGTTATTATTTGGGGATGGGGTGCTAATAGACTAGGATAAATAGGAATTAGAAGACTGTGGTAGCCTCATGGCAATTGATCAGCATCTATTCTTGGGCATGAACATAAATCTGCCAGCATTCCTGGGACACATGCCCAGATGTTGCTTTCAATAAATGCCAGTCTGACTATGCAAGGCTTTTTAAAGAGCCTGTTTCTGAGAAGATAATCCTCTATCCAAGGACATCTATTCTACTGGTATCAGTGAGCAAGAGGAGGCTGGAAGGGAATGACTGCTTGATTTTTGCAGTGTACCTGGTTTCGCCAAAGGATGAACTACAACCACTGATGAGGGTCTCAGCATGCTGCCTCGCAGACGTACCCTGTTTTGGCCGGTCTTCTTGTCCACCCTCACCAGTGATGGCCTAGCCCAGTCAGAAAGCCACAGGTGGTCCTCAAACACCGCTACAGCAAAAGGGTGGCCTACAAAGACATTAGGTTTATAATTTCCACAGCTCTAGAACACACGCAAGAAACCCTGCAAAGGAAAGCATTATCTGCACATAGATCAACTTCTAACACAGGGGCCTAGCCACAGCCAGTGTGGCCTAGCCACAACCCTTTGATTTCCTGTGGAGAGGGATAAGTGTCTGTGAACAACGGACCATGGGCACAGGTTACTTGTGCTCTTAGCGAGGGAGGATGGGACACTTGCCTGGCTCAGCACAGGCTCTATACTTCTGGGGACTTCCAGCCAGATCTAGTTCATAAGATGCTTCTGCCTCACACATCACCATTTCTTGAGGCAGCCTTGGACCAGCCTTTCAGAACTAGAGTACCTCCCTCCTCTGCCACGACGTGGCCTGGCAGAGAGCTGCTGAGGTGCACAGCCCCTTTTGCAGCCTTCATCTAACAAGAAGGAAAGGAGCTCATGGCACAAGTCCTCATGCATAAGCAGAAATAATTTACCTGCTTTGCATGCAGCTCTACTGAACGAGCTCTCAGAACAGGGGCACTAGAGGGAGCTGCTGTAATAAAAATGCATGTTACAGCAGAACACCTATGAAGAGGTGCCACCTTCCTGTCTTCCAGTGTAGAGCTGTTCAACAACAAAAATTGAATTCCAGTCTTCATTAACAGCATTAGCAAATGATCAGGACATGCTTCTCTAAATTCATACCCTTACAGGCCTTCATCTCTTTTCACTTCCTTGCATACAGACGTTTATGTCCTTTTCTCTCACCTCCAAACAGCCGTATCCCTGCTCCTTTCTCATAATCTATGTTTCTATAGTCCTAGCTTTCCTTCTCTGTTTTCTTCCTGTAAGACACTGTCTTACTCCTCATGGAGAAACAAAATGAAACTTTGATCAGATTTCAAGGTCCTTCTTTGGAGATCTGCTCCATTCCTGGCAGAGGCGGTTGCCACGGGAGCAAAGGGAAGAGAGAAGGCTGGAAAGTCTTTCTCCTCAGGCCTTTTTGATGTCTTGTAAACTGGTGAACACTGATGCCTTCAGGACCTCACTTCACTCACCTCCAGTGACCAGGAGGCTTAGGTGATGAACACAAACCCTCCCAGAGCACAGACCAGAACAGAGGCTGCTCAAAGAGTAACCATAAGGTTACCCACAGCAGTCATGGTATTGACCTATGAGTCCTCACTCTGCCCATGTCTTGTATGCACACCTACAAAATGGTCCCCAGAGAGATCCCATGATCAAAAGGATTTGTCTTCTCCAGAAACTAATATGCCATGTACAAGATTCTCAAACAGGTGGTTTACTTTGGACGTGGTACACATCGGTCCCTTGTTGTAAACACCACTGTTCTCTTGCTCCAACAACACAGTTATGTGTCAAGCAGTAGAAATCTTAGACATAAAAACTATCAGCACATCACAAAATCATTTTTCATTTGGTATCTATTGTGTGTTTAGAATCCTTCCAGTGCTCAACATTGTAGATACAGGTTTGCTGCTCAAGGACCTTAACGACCCAGATTAATTCCCTTTCTTATGTCAATATAACTCATTGATGCAATAAACACAGCAAAATCTGAATTAAACTAAGCAGCCATGCATGGGAAAAGCAAACCACATTTTAAATTTTTCGATTCTTTTCATTTTTCTGTGAAGGCAGAAAAAAGGCATCACACAGAGAAGTTCTCTGTGCAATGCAAAGTGACTTGCTAAAAAAAGCAGAGAGTGTTAGGAAGAAATGCTTTTGCTAAAATTAATAAAAGTCAGCTGGGTAGCAGAATGAAGAACCTCAACATAGCATGGGATATACAGCACAGCAGCTGGCCAGTAGTTTTCATGCACATATGCAGATATACACACACACATGAGCAAACAGCAGTAGGTAATTATCAACCCCAAAGCCTCACCTACATCATTCTGTGACAGAACTCGACGACCAGAACCATCCAGGTTTGCACTCTCAACCAGGGCCTGTTTAGCATCACACCAGTACACCTTGTCAGCCAGGTAATCAAGAGCTATTCCACTGGGCCACACCAGGCCAGTGCTGGCCACGACCCGGCGATCGAAGCCTTCTAATGAAGAGCTGTCAATCCGCGGATTGACCCCCATGTCAGTCCAGAATAATCTCCTTCAGAAAACAAAATGAATACAGGAAGTCAGTAGGTAAATGTTTGTCCTCGTCTCCATGGAGTTCCTTCAAAGCAGAAAGGTCGGGTCAGAGCAATACGGCTCTGACTCACAGGAGGAAAAGTGCACGCTTGAAACAAATATATTGGCTGCTGATCTTTTCACACTTGCCATAAGACTCCAGGTGATTGCACTGGGACTTATGCAGTATCCTCACTCTGTTCACTGGCATGAAACCTTTGGAAAACAACTCCTGACTCTGTTAACTGCCACAGCTCCTCATATCTGCCTTTTGATTTTCTATGTGACAGCTGATGGTGTTTTAGCAAACCCAGACAACAGAAAACAATGCATTAGGCAGACCCTTGTCTAAAAAAGGGTACAACAATAAAGAAAATGAAACTAAAATTACCCATTACCCACAGATAACAAGCAAAAGTAGGCAGGTTGTTAAAAAAATGCACCAATATCAGGTCCAGAATCCTTCTTCCTTTAATAAAATCATGATTCTCAGGATTTCCCTCTAGAGTTCTGTGTGTTACTCACTGAGTGTTAGCAGTTTTGAATGAACAGACAATGCTAGAAGGCAACTCAAAATGGGGATAGCTATAATTGCAAATAATATCTGAAGTTTGGGATCATCTTCCCAGGCACCAGTTGCCTCTGTCAGGTTTACTGAAATAACTCAGGGACTCAATTTTAGTTACACAAGCAGTTTTGCTCTAACTAATGCAGGGATCAGTATTTTCAAGAACTCTAATTGTGTTTCATATCCTTCTTTAATATTTACAACTGTGGACGTTGCCATAATGTCTGTTCATCCTTTCACCATTAACTTTCTGATAAGTTAGGTTTTAATGATGTTTCCTCCTCCCTTTCCCCTTGCATGCTTTGCCTCTACCAATAATTCTAGTAAACAATCTGACAGAACCTACATTTCTTCAAAGTTTTCCTGCAAAATGTCTCTATAGCATTCAATCTCTACTGAAAGATTCTTTCAGGTCTTTATGGGCAGAGGCAAGCTAGAAAAACACCCTCCCCAAACCTGCTTCTTTCTGATTTATCAGCACTTAGTTATAGCAGGATATGAGCAGCAAAACAAAATTTAAAGGACCAGATTTAAAATGCTCCTACTACAAGCGTATTGACTAAAAATCCATGTCATTTTGCCATTTATTGAAACAGACAGAATTTTATCAAGAGTGTAAACACATGGGATCATTTCAAAACTAGTTAAGCAGATACGAGGTGCATTTAAAACAACAAATCTCCAGAACAGTAAATTAGGTTTCATTTCCTCTGAAACTGAAACGTGGACCAAAAAAAAAAGGCAATTTTGTAAGTACTGCTGGTTAAAAGTGATTGCCTTCTTCACACTACTAGATATGGAACCATGTCAAGGTTTGTAGTGTGGCACCTATAGCTGTCAGTTGCTCATGCTTATCTTTAGCTTAAACCGCATACAGCATCATTAATGCTCCAATTACTTTCTTCTAAAATCTATATGAGAAATGAACATGTCCCAGCTCATGAAAGAAACCCTGCAATAAAACATTACAGTTCACACAGCTCTGCGGGGCAATGACTAACCCAACACGAGACTAATGCACATTTTGACTGCCAAAAGGGCAAAGCTTGCACGCTCATTTTTAAAAATCATCCACAAGAATTACATGATTTACTGTGTTTATCACTCCTTACTTGGCAAATGGGTGAATGGCAATCCCTCGGGGCTGGGAGAGATCCTCCCAGATGATCATTTTTCTTTGCATTCCATTCAGATTGCTCCTTTCAATGCACACCTTTCTGCAACACACAGAGCACTGTTAGGTCCTCCCTGCCATCTTTTTAATCACCTTCTTGGGCTGAATGCACTAAGATTTTGCACTGCTTTGGTTTAGCTGTAATAAATAATTTCACAGCGACAGGAAGTAATCCTGCTGATGTAGGATGTCTAGTTGTTTTATCAACAAGTAATTAATGTTACAGCTTCGTTATCTGGTCCAGGGCATGATGATAAAATACCTGCTTCTGCAGAAGACATGAAGTTCTCCTTCTTTGGGTGAATAATGAATTGCAAGTAAGATCATTAACAGATAAATGCTAGCTTTAAAAGGAGTCAGGAGGAAAACCAGCTCCTAACTGAATACCATTACCAAATGTATAAAGAATTTTTTTAAATAGTACTTTTACATAGCATTTTGCATCCAGAATTCAGTGGTCATTTTACATATTCCATCTATTTTGCAGGAAAGAATAAGGCCAAGGTTCTTAAGATTACTCATAAAATCAGTTGCCAAGTCAAGTATAGAATCTACACTGCCAATCTTTCAATTAATCTTTTTTTCCAGAAAACTGATTTTATTGCTGCAATATTCATCTTGCCAAACAAATATCAGCCTCTACCTGCAAGCAAGCCTACAGCCTTCCCTGCCTATTTGAACTTTCAAAGAAAGGCCCCACAGAGATGGAAGGAGAAATATACTCCTGCAAATGTGGAATACTAACAGGTAAATGCAGTGGGTGGGAAGGAAGTCTCAGGTTCAAAATCTCTTACTCCCCCTGAATACGTCCTGTCTTATGAAGAGAAACACCATAATCTCCCATTTCACAAGAAACACTGGCATATTTCTATAGCAGCTGAGTTGTGTGACAATATTGTATCTAAAAGCAAGGAAGTGGACTAGCAGAATATTTAAAATGGAGAAGGAGGGTGATCTAAACACTCAAAATTACTTCTTACTGACAAATGAATTATGGATCATGTTGAAAGCTCATGACTACTCTTCAAAGAGTGTTCATTATCTGTTGTGATCTGAAGCTGCCCATCAAAGGTCAGATTTTCTTCCCCCTGCATATATGGTTAGGTATCAGCTGGAAGGTGGTCACATTGTCTGGCAGCAGTCATTCCTCTTTTATCAGAGAGAATTGACAAAGACTCTCCAATAACATGAGTGTAGCTGCCAGCAACACTGACTTCTGTCCAAGATGTACTCAGTACATTATTACTCTTTTTAATGTGCATATATGTATATACAAAGATATACCTATATACACTCACACACAGCGTATGTATATAAAAAACACACAAGGAAATATATTCACATGCACAAGTGCACCTGCATATATGTATATATGCAGTGCATGTTTTAGATTCCTTGCAACTGAGTCTAAACCCTCACTTCTTGGAAAGACAAAGATAAAAATACAGTAGCAGACTGCAAGTGAACTTCCAGCATTTTGGTTTTAAATGACCTTCCAACTGTATATACTTGAGACTAAAACTACCCAATCAGAATGTGAAGCACTACTGAACTAGGGTGATATCTCAGCTATTTCTGCATCACCAGTCATTTATTCCAAATATTTTGTGGCGTGCTTCAGCATAAATGCACTGTGGAGCATGTACCCTCTGTCTGTCCAGTACAATCTACGGTTAATCCAGTCCACAGCAAGGCCTTCGGGTGTATCTACAGCTCCATGAATAACCTTTTCACGCTCTGAGCCATCCAGATTAGCTCGTTCTATCCACTTCAAGGCAGTGTGGGCAAAGTAAATCTGTGAATAAATAAGAGACAAGGTGTCATTAGTTCTCATCTCACTTTTTACTCTACCTCCTCAGTCTAGTAACTCCATTTCTAAAATACTTTTTTCATCTGGAAAATTCCCTAAACTGCTTATTCACAAAAGGCTGCACAGGTAACCGGTGATCCCTGATCAAATAAAAAGACACTTATCCTTCAACCAGGATGACTTCTACAGGCAGCTTGTGCTTAGCTGTAAATCCTGGTTGCCCTATATACAGCCCTCTGAGTATCCTGTAGTTTTGTTTGAGCCAGCAGCTACTTCACATGAAGCACAGCTGAGGAAGCAAAAGTAGGAACAGGCAGAAAGAAGCATGTTGCCATTTCACTGGATGCTCATGTTGAAAAGTGAGAAGTGTGGAGAAGATAGCAGCACTCTATCTATATCAAGGAGCTGGGAAGGGGAAAAGGAGTTTGAAATTTACTTGTATTTTTTCCACGCTTTTATCCTGCAGCTATCCTAATTTTTCACTAGGTGTCTATTCTGTAAGGCTGCAACATTTGCAGAAGAGGTTTCTTAGTTTGGGGTCAAAAGTAAAGTTCTTTGCTGGTAGGGAAAGCAGGTTTGCATTTTCCAAGGATGTGCAAATTTTATCTTGTATGCAAATGCCAGACAGAGGCAAACATTGCATGGCACAACCACATCAAAAGCAGTGCTGAGGCTTTCTTTGGAAATGGCAACAGCAAAACAAATTACTTTCCTTTGATGCTGGCCATTAGATCAAACAAAACAGGAGAGAGCCTCTGGCCCTAGCCCAGTTAATTCAACACCCTGGGAGCACGAGGGCTGCTGCCTTGCCACCCAGCTGACACCACCAGGCTCCTGCAGCCTGGCTGGCCCCTTCCGTGTCCCCCACCTCTGTGCTGCCACCCAACACCGCAGGAGGGGATCCCAGGTGCCACCAGAGTCACTGGCACAGCTGATCCACACTTGGCACAGCACAGGGCAACTGCTGCCTCTCCAGCAGGGCCCTATTTCGGGAGCAAGTGGAGATGTTCCAGAAGTGCCTGAAGTGCTCCTCCTGTAAATGCAGATCTGGTAACATTCACATTCGTTTAGCTCTGCCCATCTGGGCCTTGAGGTCCTTCCAACAATTTAACTGAGCTCCTCATCAGCTTTCACTGTACTTTGCAACACTTTTACAGTGGAAATAAGTCTCTCCATGGGAAAATGTAACTTTCTGCCGCAGCGGGTTCAGCAAAGCACAACTGAACACCTATTCTTCCCAACTCTCCAGGCAAGTTTTGCTCAATAATATCAGGACATGGGAAATAATTCTTGTTAAGATTACTCCAACATTTAGTAGGGATTATATGGACTTAGCTGCATAAAATAAAAGATACTTTTGCTTGTACCACTACACAGTGAAAAAACTCCACAACATGTTTCCAGAAAACAGCACTGCAGTCTTAATGGGGAAAACCTATCAACCACACAAAAGTTCTTTAAAATTGAAATCATGCCTGAAGTCAATTTAGAAATCCAAATTGTCAGTGAATTATCATTTTCAATGTACAAAAAAAAAAAATAAAAATTCAAGGATGAAACTCTTCAGCTGATATTTGGCAGCCTTTACCAGTTGTGCTCCTAGACAGGAGACAGAGCAGCGAGCGGCATAACGCGTAATCCAGATCACTGACAGAGGAAAGGTTAAGGCACATGAAAGCTCAATCCTTTTGTCCTTGCAACACTCCAGAATCCTCTCATTTTTAATGCCTTACCTTATTTTCCACCGGGTCAGAGTCCAGTGCTAAGACTACTCCCATCTGCCAGTCAAGTAAACTTGTGTAATCTGTTCCATCAAAACTCATCTGGCGGATATCTTGGCCATTTGCAAACAACAAAAATGGCTTAGGACCTGTTGATTAAAATTTGCCAGTATGTTAATTGCTCTAAGTTCAAAGTGATCTCTAACTTGCATTACTACCTGAGTAAAGTTGTAAATAAGTAACAGTAAAAGACAAAATGAGAAACAAAGGCAAAAAGAAATTATGGCAATTTTCCTACACTCCACTTACCTAAGAAATTAAAGATAAATGTGAATATAAGTTTACGGCATCAGCCTCAACATTTCTGACAAAAGGAGTCACTAATCCTGCTGCATTTCACACTGAATGCCTTAGCCTCGAGGCAATAATTTCTCTACGTTTCACAGCATCACCATAAATGCCAGAATAACTTGAATTTGTATATGGAGAACTCTTTTGTAGTAAAAGCAAGAAAGATACTGTCCTCAAAAAAAAAAAAAAAAAAAAAAAACATACTTTTCCCCTTTTTTCGGGCACAAATCAAAAACTTCTTTTTCCTCCTCTCTCTTTGTCAATTGCTTATACCTTGCTGATACCAGAGTCTGCCCTTTTCTCAGAAGGAACAGAAGGGTCTGGAATCCAAAAGTACACATCAAACATGTCAGCTTCCTGGGGCCAGTGAGGGACAATATCCTCATATGGAAAGCCCTTTAACAAAATATTCCCTACCCTGTTCTCCAAATAGAGAGACTTCAGCCCCAGTTCTGTAACACTGGGCAGGAACTATGCCCATATTTATGTGAAGGCACAAAACCTTGTGTACTGCAGGACAGACCTCCACAGTATGGGAGCCCAGAGTGAAATGTTGAAGATGGATCACAGATTAAACTTTCTGTCAAGGAGACAGAAACATATACTGGTGCTTGTCTTGGTTTATTTCCAAAATAGGTTGTCTTTCCTGACAACTAATACTTCCCAAGTTTCACAAAGTAACCTAAAACAGTGCAAAAAGGGATCCCAGTTGATCCACCTTAAAGAACTCAAAAGAAGTTTGCTTTTATTGGCAGAAATATGCAGGCATACCAAGACACCAACCTATAGCAGTGCAGTGCTTTCTGTCTCGCTGAAGCTTATATCCAGGAAAACAAGCACACTCCCAGGAGGATGGGCTTAAAGAAGAGCATATCTGACTGCAGCCACCATTATCTGGAGATGTACAACCTTAAACAGAGCATTTGTAAAATTTTACTGTGCCGTTCTAAAAAAAAAATAAAATACAACAAAATCAGAGGTATAAGAGAATGGTTCACTCTGCTCAGGATTTCTACAGTGCAAATCATCCTAGTGACTGGTTGATTTACCAAAAGGCCTCCTGCTGAAAGCAGAAGCCTAGTGAAGTGGAAACAAATTAGTAATAACTTGTTCCAGAGTTTTCCTGAAAACTTACAACACAAGATGTGTTGTAAGTGCAGCACAAAGTGGGAGCGTGGGATACATAAAGACAGAGGCTCTTTAATGTGTTTCAGGGAACTCTTCTCCCATGCAAATCTCATCCCATCTAAAACAGAATATTTTATCAGACTTTGCACTCCATGCAAAGAAACAGCAAATTAATGCTATTGTCTGCTTGGAAGTTAATTAGGCTAGGAGGACAAATTGATACTTTCTAAGAAAACAAACCAAGATTTCATGTAAAAAAACCCCATTATTTTGTTATTTTTTTCTGTTATATTCTCAATACCAACATAAGTCAGCAAAACAGAAATAATGACTGAATCTATGTATAAAGTACAGTCCATGTGAAAGGGATTAAAAGGAAAAGAGGATTTTTCACAGCATAAGACTGTCAGAAATGGAGCTCTCTTGACCCCTAAGACTGAAAAGATGCAGTTGAGAAGCTACAGTCCCCTGAATTTGGAAAATTGCTGAAGTGGGGAATGACAGATTGAGTGTAGCAGCTTCAAGTATTCTGAGTGCAAAAATTCTATTTGTGGTGAGTTAGAGTGACTCTGAACCTGGGCTGCATGATGTCAATAAAATTATCACCCAAGCCTTACTTTTGTACATATACGTCCCCTCAAGTATAAATTTTAGATGTCTCCCACAACAAAAATCTGAGACATGCCTTGATCTCTGCTGACAACAAAAGAACTTGGCCAGCAAATATTGGATGTTGCTGCTACTAAAAATCTATTTAAAAATGAAGATGAATACTGCTCATGTCAGCACTCAAATCAGCTTACATGCTATTATCTTGTGCAATCATTTACAGCTGTTCAAAATGAGGGTGAAATGTCTTCATTCACTTCTGGCTCTTGGTGCCAAGAATAAACAGAGCCTGGCAGTCACTTCAGCTAAGAAAAATGTTCCTTACCTGTGCATGTTTTGCCATCCACTTTGAGCACAGATCCCTCTGGGCAAAAGCAAACAGGGCCTTTAGATGTTTGAAGGCAGCCGTGACTGCAGCCGGTGTCATTACTTGTACAGGTAATTAGCTCTGCAGTAATTTAAGGAGGAAAAAAATTCCTAAATGATGATAAAAATTTTTACTAAGCCCCCAGTAAGATATGTTAACACCTTCTTAAATAGCAAAAGAAGAAGTTAAAAAAAGTAGAAAAATTAAATATATAAATAAATAGAATTGTGATGTTTAGAGTACAACACTTCTGCAGTCTGTCTCTGATTTGTTATGCTGTGTTTCTGTTCTTCTTTTCAAATTTTTTTCACACCTCCTCCTAATTGCAGCCCAGGAGAAAGCCAAAATTGCTGAGTCCTGAAGCCATTATACTTATCAGCTTAAATTTTCCAAAATATTCTGAAGGTGTGCTATCAAAATTGAAGTAATTTTGAAAAATTTCTTTTTTGTACTTCATCAAAAATAGATCAGGTTCTAAAAACGACAAGGAATCTCTACTGAAAGAATAAGTATAAAAGACCAAGAGAATGAGGAAGGACTACTTTCCGACTACTTCAAGTGTAAAAGAGCTAAGATCAATCAAAACAGGAGAAGAACCTTCCAGAATCAAAACTATGTTCTTTAGTGTCAATTTTAGAAGGTATAAGGGCAAAATCATCTGAGGACTTGGCAAGAGCTTTCCTTTACTTGCTATTAGAAATATTCCAGTGCCAACATTTTTTTTAAGTATTTCTTTAATGCAGCTTCACATGATGTGCTCCTTCCACCTTCTGCATTGCAGTACTCCATCTCTTTGTCCCAATTCTGGTGCCATATGACTGGAACCAATACAAGATTTCCACAGCTGCTTCTATGAATCAGCTGCACACGTTGGCCTAAATGGTGCATAGCTCTTGCAAATATTGCTTCTGCAGGACACCTGCATTCTGGACTGGACTGTGCTAACCACTTCAGCACAGAGAATAAGGTCCAGAAAATTCCTTCTGACCAGATCTTGTGGCTTTAGATGAAGAGCTTCATAAAGGATTTGGAGGACAAAGTATCAAAATCTTTGTCCATCATTTGGACTTCTCATCTTGTGTGTGTCTCTCTCTCAAGCTGAATAGTTGGTGAAATCTGCCTTGTGCTGCAGATCACACTGTCCATCCTGCAGTCCTAGCCTGTGCTAGAAAAGCATTATTTTCTATCTAATTTGAGCCACCCCAAATGCAGGCATGCAGTTCAAACTGGTCATCCAAAGTAGGACTGAGTTGCACAGTGTCTAAATGTTGTTTTGGATGCAAAATGATATCCTATCTCCCAATGACCTCTGGCTGCAGCCCATAGTTCTTCTGCTGCAGTTGGCTGCCTTCTGCAGGTCACACACACCCTGGACCCCCATGCTGGGGTCACTGAATCCTGCTCCTAGCTCCCTCTTAATAAAGAGGAAGAAGTGGCTCTTACAGAATCACAGAATATCCTGAATTGGAAGGGATCCACAGAGATCATAGAGTCCAACTCCTGGCCCTGCCCAGCACTCTTGGAGTCCAAAATAGACTGACTGCTAGAGTCTGTTAGATTCTATGGCTATATTTACTCTCCAGTAGTGATATTTAATATACCCTAAGTCCTTATCCTGCCATGATCCACACAGAGCTCATTGGTGTGCACTGGCACTCCTGCTTGGGCCTTATACCAATGTTTTATTTCAAATAAACAAAGTAGAAGGACTTTTTTCTGTGCATAAGCTTCACGTCAAAAGTGACTGATAATATTCCAAGACCTCAAAACTTGGAAGCTTTTCACATTTTATGTTCTAGACTTATTCCAGAAAGGCTTAATTCATTTGTAGGCTGAGCATACACATTTAATTCAATTTAATGTCATGTCATATATATATATCAGCAATGCTGTCAGCCCTGATCTGAAATAAAAATACATGATGCTGTGAGTTATTCTTTCAGACACAGGGCAAATCCTTAGAGAATGAGCCAAATTCAGAGACCACATTTAAAAATACATAACTGCTTTTCCACCTGGAATGTGTCATTGGGTCTAATCTGAGAAGAGATCTCTCTGGAGACATGACTTGTTTCTTTTTCCTCCTCTGAAGAAGTGTATACAATTTCTCACGTGTAACTTCTGCTTCCTTAAACACAACACCTGAAATCAGTTCACTCACTTTAAGCCAATCCTGCTTACATAACATGGGATTGGAAGCAAGCAACACAATGCACAAAACTTCCAGCAGTTCCAGTCTGAAATGAGAAGTCTCTCCAAGTGTTTGTGTATTCAGCTCCTTACCATGACATGTTTTCCTATCAGGCAGCAGAACAAAGCCCCTCGGGCAGGTGCAGTAGTAGGAGCCAGGGATGTTCACACAGCCTAAAGTGCAGCCATGATTCCAGAAGCCACATTCATTAATATCTGCAAAATAAAGAGAACTTGTTGTGTCAGAATAACCTCATCAGCCAATGTTAGGGAATAGATTAATGGAACAAAGTAACAGTCTGGAAAAGTACATATTTTTTTGCATGAATTTTACAAAAATGTGGTTTTCCTAATGAGCCATAAGAAAACAAGTTTGCAGACCTCATTCAAATCAGTGTCAAAAACCTTCTAGCAAAACATACTTATGTTTTGTGTGTCCAGCATAGATGCCTAGAGGACTTTCAAAAAGATGCCTTTCCATACAGATTCCAGTGCCATTTAAATTCTGTGCACATCCAAAACCTGTTAGTTAGACACCATCTTAAAACAAAAACTCTTTTTAAAAATTTAGGTTCAACATGACTTAAGCAAATGCTTCAAAACACAAGTGTATTAAAAGTTGAAATTCAGAAATCAAACCTGAAAATTTCCTGAGAACTGGAATGCTGATGTTCAGGCAAGTTTGTAAATCTTGTCAGCTAGGAATTCTGATGCCATTATGTCTTATAAATTCTGGTCATGTAGTAAAAGAGATGCTTTAAAAAGCATTATGTTATCTATTATTAATAGAAAATTTAGATTTTTAATAAAACAATTGAGATCAAAATATTTAGAAGCATGTTAAGAATGTCTGTCTTTTTTGAAATTATACACAGACTTCTTGTTGCTGGATTATTCCATGTTTCACCTTTGGTCGTACATCCAGTTTCATCTTTCTTTTAAAGTTAAATTACCACACATGAGCATTTCTACTTGTCTGAAGCTCCTTTACGTACTCAGACTAAAACCAAAATTTCTTACAAGAATAGCATGTGTGACACTTTCATTGATCTCTTTTTAAACTATTTCAGACTTGGAAGGACACAAAAACTGAAATGGCACACTGAAATTTTTAAAAGGTCATAGTAATTTTTCAAACTCAAGATTTTAAGTAAAAGAATAGAAGTATTTTTTCATGTGATGGAATTAAGCAGATGAGAAATTCATGTATTACCTTCACAAAACTGTTTATTTCGACTTAAAATAAAGCCACTAGAACATTTACACCGATGAGTCCTTGAGTCTGGCCTGCAGATTCTTCTTCTGCACTTCTCTCTGTTGAAATCACAGATTCCTTTTTCTGAAAGAACAATTACAGCGTAAGTAGACTGGAGTTCTTATCATATTAACCCTCCAGTAGAAAGATGATAAGATGTATTTTCTTCTCAACATCTGCTTGCTCAACCAAGCTGAGGAACTTCTTATTAATGCAAAATAACTTCATTTTTTTTCCATTAGTAAAATCAGGCAAAAAACTAGTCACTGTAAAAATGAAAGTACTTGGAATACTAGGAGTAGGTGTGTCCAAATGATCATTTTGAGCTCTATGCCAGCACAAGCAGATTTAGAGAGAACATGAACTAGGGATGGTTTGGTTTGGGTCCATACCCAGAGTGACAATAAAAGGGAAAATTCAAGTTCCCTATGCCCCCAGTTCTGCACAGTATTACATATTACTTTGTAAAACACTCAGAAATAAGAACAACAGGGAGCACGCATGCAAAAAGGAGAGAAAAGAGAGATGTTTAAGACACACATACAAAGACTGTTGTTGTTGTTATTATTATTATTGGAGTATCATTACCACATTACTACCCATATTATTTAACAACAAAGATAACGTGAGGTTATAATGACCATGTGTTTCATTTGGGCACAAGGTATTAGTGCATTCTAGAGAATCTTTGTGTTGGTGTGGCTCTATAAGAAATACAAGCATTATAAATGTTGAGTTCAAATTTCAAACTCAGAACCTTTCTTCAAAGAAAGAAGAAAAAAATGTGCCCAAGGTTTTTTGTTGGTCCCCAGGAGCCTTCCTATTTCTCCTGCTTCAAGAAGAGCTACTCCAGTATCCTTTCTCATGGGAAGGATTTGCAGAGCCTCATGTCTGTGCTCAGCTATCTTTCAGGGCTGGTGCTTTCACAGATACGCAGCACTCCTGATTTTGTTTTTGTCTCCAAAATGATTATTTTTGTTTGAATTGATGCTACTGAGTGTGGGTGTGCAGCCACAGAGAATGCTGTATCTGCCCTGGGCTGTGTGTGCAAGGCATCAGGGGCTCATACAGGCAAAGAAATGAGTATGTAACCAACTTTCTTCTGCTGTTTCCCATTCACAATCAATACTCCAAGAGATTAAAAACTGCATAATATTTAAGCTCCAAGTTTATTCTTCTGCCAGCCACAACAAAGAAAACATTGGCCCCTTGGTGGAAAGACAGACCACATCTATAAAAGTAATAATACATCTTTTCCCAGAGAGCTTGGCTACAGGTACAGACACCTTGCACATATTTGCTTAACTGGTTAAGTCTTCTCTAGCAAAGGTCATACCATTAAATGCAAAATTATGAATGGATGACTAGGTAGATATTATCTATGTTATTTAGCATGTTGTCTTTTAAGAGACTAGAGTTTTGTGTGGTTTTGTAGAATTAATTTTGAATTGGACACAATCTTTTTCTACTTCAACTGAATCAAGAACACACAGTAATGGAGAGTCTAATCTTCAAATAAAGAACTCATTAGAATGACAAAAGTGCAAGTGCATGCAACCACAAAACAACAGAATCCACAAACAAGCATCCACATTCAAGGCTGCATCATATGCTTATGTCATTGTTTTTGATTTTTCTCCCCATGGTTATACCATTATTGATCTAAATAGTCAAAAAAAGATCTAAGGCACCTGGGAGTTACAGAGTAAATAACAGAAGCTGTAGTTTTTCCATCTGGACAATCTCTAGAAGATAATTTTTAACTGAATAAGTATTAGAACTCTCTGTAGCCATATCAATACATAAAAACCCAATCACATTTCAAAGCTTAATGGTAATTAAATTATGAATCACAAAGTTTATAATGTAATATTTTCTGGAAGAACACCATTACAAACCACTCTTACTAACTTATTTGTGTTTTGCAGGGTTTTTTCCCCTCCCATCCCCTGTCTTACATGGAAATACATATCCTCATATATTAGTAGCATTAATCTGTTAGGAAAAATTCCTTCAAAGAATTCCAGAGTATTTGAGATTTTAAGGTATTTCAGATATTTTATGACCTGTTATTAAAAGTGACACACCAAAGTTGTTCTGTGGGGTTAAAACGAACCCGTAGATGAATTAATGCTCTTCTCTCTACTAATTGGCCCTGACCAATCCAAGGAAGTAGTTTGAAAGAGAAAGGGAAGAGGAGACCTGAGAAATTTAAGTAGCAAAGTAAATAATTCAGATGCCAGCAAAAAAATCAAATCATATCAGTTGCACACTTCTCCTAAGTTCCCTTTTCATCTGAAGGATCTCACTTGTTATCTGCTTTAAAGAAGGCTTGATAATTCACAGCTGACACTACATTGCAATGTACATTTTCTTAGCTTGTACAGAGCATCCAATTAGTACAGGTATGCTTTTATCTGCAGGTTTCTCTGTTGTAAGATCAGCTATAAATCTCATTTGAACTCCATGCTCATTAGTCCTCCTTTCATCCCCGTTCTTGCATTGGATAAGCAAAGCAATGCACATACAAAGTCCAAAAGGTTCATCTGGATTCAGCCTCTTAAGCTTCTTTCTACTCCATCACTTCCCAGACATTTTACAAGTTATTTGGATTTTTTTTTAAAAAAAAGCCTACTGCTGACAACACTTCCTATTGTACAAAAATTTACTAAATGTTGGAAATACATATACATTTGAAAACATTGGTAGGTCATATATTAATAAAAGCAGAGAAAGCCTTTTTCCATGGAAAGACAAATGCCAGAAAGCAGAATGTTTGGGTGGAAGAAGTGGAGCAAATCTTCTGAGCAAAGAATAAAGGCTAAGTGCCCACAGTCACTGAAATTAAGCTGCACATTCTTGCCCTAGTTCCTCTATGTGAGAGCACCAAATTTGTCACTGGAACAAAGTGCTTCCATTTGCCAGGACAGCCATTTTCCCTAAAGTAAGGACAGATCAAGTATTGTCTCTGAATAGAGACTCCCTGTGCTTACAAGGGTAAGCTTGATTTCCAGGAACACTATCTTCTGCATCCCACCACGTCTTGGCACTGCAAACAAAGCATGTGAGGGGGAAAGTTCCTTTGAAGGTTTTGATTTTCCCACTCAGACCAGTCTTCAGAGGACACAGACTGCATGGTACAGCTGTTGGTTGGCATGAAGAAAGACAAAGACTATTTTATAGTAGCTCTTTAGGAATAGTTCAAAGATACATTTACAGTTTGATTTTTGCTCATATGAACTAAAACAAACACTATCTTTATACCTCTGGGAATCCATGGCTGCCTTCTCTTGGGAGCTGTACAACCATTGCTTAGCACACAAATGCCTCCAAACTCTTTGCTCCATTGCTCTTATCCAAGCAAAACAGGTGACAAAAGCTATTCCACTAAAGCAAGAATGCTCTGCTCCCCAGAGATTAGAAGACAAGACATTATTTACCTGGATATCCTCCACTTCCTACTGCCTCAGCAGGAATACCCAAGGAAGGTGAAGTCTTGATAGTCAATTACCTTCATTTTGGATCCACAGTGAAAGGCAGTGAGATGACCAGCTCACACTGTGGGCTGCAATTGGTGGCAATTAAAGAGTCTCTTATCCTATAGTTGTTATAGCAACTTTAAGACTGCCTAAGAGCTGCTGACTTTTAGTTGAATCATTTCACAGGAAAGCTGAGACATCCACTTGTAGAACATACTGTGTGCTTAAAATCCTTCACTGCCATAATAATCAGAGTTGTTTAGATGCACTTCAGACTAAAACTTCCAGAATGAAGCAGACATTTGGTGAGGATAATGTGACAGAGGGTTAAAAATCTGTATGCTTTGTGCATTTAGCAGGAAAGCGTAAAAATATCTTTGTGTAAAGAAAGGTGAGAGAATGAGAAAGTCACATTTATCTGCATGTGTGTATAGATTAATGAAACGAGCAGTTCATGCTTGGCATGCTTCTACCCTGATACTCCGCTGGAGCTGCACACAAGTGGAACTGTGGACCACTGAAGTGAAAAAAACACTTTTTCCTTCATTTCACTGAGGCCTGGAATTTTCCAAAGAAAATTCTTACTGCAGAGAATCAGAGTGTATGACATTATTATTCTCATGCATAGCAGCACTACATTTACTTACCCAAATCCTGAGAATCAATCCTTGCACCTGGCTGCTTAAATGGATGTACTATTTTTATCTCCACTGGTGGGAAAAATGATGGCTTCAGGCTAATTGTGACTACAACCTTTCCAGTATATTTGTTGGCTCTCCATATCATGCCAGACTTCAAATCTGAGTAGTACAAGTGCTCAGCAAAGAGAGACATACCAAGCAATTGATGTCTAAAAGAGAAGAGAGCAAAGAGGCACATTACCTGATTCCTACATATTTACTCACTCAAACATTTTCTGAGTGCCTAGTTCAGTCAGGTTCACTGAAAATTACCTTTCTTTGTATTGTGTGTGTATATATATATATACTATAGTATCTTCTATATATGAGAATCAGAGGAGGTGAAGAGACATTCCCAAAATAATTCAGCACTTAATCCTGCAAATTTGCAATAGACACAAAATGGATAACCTGCATTTCTAAAAGGTTCAATGATCTTTGATCAATGATCTTCAAAGGTCAGGACTGACTTAATTGGGAGAGAAAATTTAGGTGTGACCCTTCTTCTGGTGAATCAAGCAACCAAAATGGAAACTTGGTCTGTTGGAGGATGTAGGTCATATAAGTTCCACTATTTTCCAATATCCAGTGCCTGCTCTGACAATTCTGACTGTCTGAGGAAATCAGGGTGGAGATGGAGTGGTAGGAGTAGAGCACTCCTAAAACCCATCTTCTGCTGCTTCTCCAATCTCAGGAATGTAGTTTCCATTCATTGGTCAGTTATAGCAGCTAACAGAAAACACAAAAGGGCCAAGGTTTCTCTCAATAAGAGAGAAATCAGAAAAAATACTACAGAAGGTATTTTTGTCTTCTGCTTTCCAGGAAGACACAATCCAGGTGGAAAACAGAATCCAGATCATCCAGGCTAAAGAATCAATTCTTCAGTGAACAATAACTAACTCAAAGGAGAAAGGGAAAAAAAAGTAAGGAAAAATCCAAACTGACTGTTGGCATTGTAGAGAGAAGCCAACTTTGTGTTCGTCATGTGAAAATGGTGGACCACATATTTAAATAAGCAGGCCAGTAAAACTGCATTTTTCTCAGTTTACTGTTGGAAATCCCTTTTCCACACATGGCGACCCAACCATACTGAAAGATACTGCAGTGACAACCTTTTCCTGATCCCCTCACCGACCCCACAGCCGCCACTGGCACCTGTACCCCTGCACAGCATGAGGACCAAAAGGACATGGGTCTAAAAGCCCCTTCAGCTGTGCTCAGCACTGGCACTGGGGCAGGACAATGCTCTTGCACAACACAGTTTTCACCACATCTGCTGATGCTTCTTGGAGAGCCTGAGCACAGGGCCGAGCCTCACCAGCCAGCAGCTAAGGAGGACAACAGGCTCAGATGAGGATGGAGTTCAGTCTCCTGAGCACAGCTCAGACACCTGAGCTCACCCACTGTGACCTTGGATAAATCATTTAATCTCTCCTTTTGGCTCCTCTCTCTGCAGAAAAAGGCCACTAATAAACACTCAGAGAGGATTTCTAAGGATTAATTAGTTATCATTTGGCAAAAGCTTGGAAGAGGGAGAGTGCTGAGTGGTAGTATTATCCTTGTAACAGCGACATTTTTCCATTTTCCTATTATTAATGTGACCTTTAAAGTCACAGGCCATTTGCATTGCACTTTATATTCCTCATGTTATGAACTGACCCAAAAGGGAGGATGGGGGAGAGAGCTAAATTGCCCCCCTGAAATGAATGTTTTATTTCTGACAAGCTGAGGAGAGCTCACCGGACAGAATTTCTGAGGAAACGAACAGCTCCACCATCATAGTCACATGATCCAATATGGGAAATCTCTTTTCCGTGGTCATGTTGGATCCAGTAGAGCCTTGTGTCAACCAAATCTAGTGAGATGGCCTTTATTTTTTCTGTAGTTTTCAAAATGTTTATCATATAACTTCCACTGAGAGACGCTCGGTGTATGCTGGAAACTGTACCATCTGAAGACAAAAATAACAGCCTGCAGGCAAGAGAGGCATGTTTGAAAAACAAACCAAAACAAAACACCCCACAACAAACAAACCCTATATTTTCAAAATCCCATCACAGCTACACACTCTTTATTAAGTTATTTAGTTGCTCCTGTATACAGGATTTCTCAGTGTGGTACTAGAACTACAAGTACTGCTGGAGATACTAGAAACTAGTATTACTAGAGGTAGCAAAAATTTCCCTCAAGTAGGTCAAGCAGGAATCAGCCCAGCTTAACCACAAAGCACTATTGTCTGTCTCTCTACTTTGTTCAGCTGTGCAGTCAAGGAAACTGGAATTACTTCTCAAATCTATGGGGAGCTCTTGCAAATTTGAGGAAAGGCATGTCTGATGTCCAGGACCGAAACCCCACTGGGATGGCAATATTCCAAAGAGTATTAACAATACTACTATCATCAGAAGATTGGTTTATGTACAAATGTGGTGGAAATGGACACATGAACCTCAATATTAAAACAACTGTGCACATCGCTGAGCAGCTTTAATGCAAATCAAAAGTAGGAACAAAGACATGCTCTTGCTAAATAAAACAGAAGCATTTCCAATTTTTCTCAAGTGTTCTTTTTTGTTGTTGTTTTTGTTTTTGTGTAAGGGGAGATTAGCACGGAGAGACCACTGTGATGATTCATACTGGTAACCCTTGAGGATCCAGGCCTCTCATGTGAGCATGGTTCTCCATGTAAATTACTTGAAGCTGAAAGGAGCGTCTCTATGAAGGCCAAACTACTAGTGATGCTAAGCAGTAGCAGTGGATTCAGAACCAGTATTTGGTGACACTGAGAAAGAAATGAGGGAAACAGCAGAAAAGTGTCAGTTTTGGCTTTTTTTTTTTCCAGAAAACATAGCAATTTATGTTCTAAGTGTGCCGGGTCTGAAGCACAAGTGACTCCCAGCATTTTTAGTCATCATTTCCTTTGCTTCTCCAATACTGCTTTCTACCCAGAAACTTTACTGAAAGAGGCTAGATTGAGATTGGATATTAGGAAGAAATTCTTTACTGTGAGGGTGGTGAGGCAGAGGAATAGATTGCCCAGAGAAGTTGTAGATGCCCCACCCCTGGAATTGTTCAAGGCAGGTCAGATTGGACTTTGTGCAGCCTGGTCTAGTGGAAGGTGTCCCTGTCCCTGGTGAGTGGGTTGGAACTAGATGACCTTTAAGGTCTCTTCTAACCCATTTCTATGATTCCATGAAACCACAATCATAGTACTTCACATATTTGGAGTCCATTTAAATGAAATTACTGAGCCCTTTAAAATTACCTTTGCTCAGCATCAATGGTAATCCTTGTGGGACGACCAGCAGCTCTTAGAAGAACTCGGCGTTTCCTCCCATTCATATCAGTTGCTTCTATGGTTCCTTTCTGTCTGTTGGCCCAGAGAATGTCGTGATTTATCCAGTCAATAGCAAATCCTGAAATGCCTTTGTCTATGTAACATAGTCTCTGTACAGAAGAAAAAAATTAATTGAGAAGAGGAATCCTAATGACTACTCTAAACTTGGCTTTCGTTACAGGGAATAGAAGACCCGGCTGAAACTTTCCTGTTCATTCCTTTGCCACTTCATTTTCTTTCAGACCTCTAGCTATTTCTCTTTCTTTTTCTTTCATCACTTTCATTTGGTCTTTTTGCTAACACATACCCCTTCTGAACTGAGTGACTCTCTGCAGAAGGAGAAACTGTTCTGCACAAGAAACATACTGAATTAATATTTAGCTACATTTTTCACATTTGGCACATTACTAATCACCCAGGCCTGTACTGTTACAGATGGAAGTCTCCTAACACACTGCTGCTGGACCCAGATCCCTTAAAATCAGTGAAAATACATGAGTGAATACTCCACATAGGTAAAAGATACTGGCAGTCTCTCTCAAACAAAAGGACACTCTCACAGCAATAAAGTTCAGCCTGAACAGCGTCTGCCCTTCTTAATCAGCCAGATGCAATGAACTACATAGTTTTTTTTCTGAACAAAGTACTAATAGCATTTATGCAACCATAGAAACCAATAAAAGGTTTGAGAAAAAATGAGTAGGAATTCAAGCACATTCTTCTCACAGCATTTGTGTCAGCTTGTGTTACAATAATCTGGAAAACAATGTTGTAATGCCAGAGAATAATCTATAACTGATAGAAACATTAAAGTTTACAAATCCTTAATTTGTTTGAATTTCCTCTACTGCATTTTTAATTTGAACCTCTCCTGCATTCACCTGATCCACAGAAAATACTGTATGTACTGAATATGAATGACAGTAACACAGCCTACACACAGGATCAGAACTATTACAACAGTAAAAGTGCTAATTTATGAACAGTAAAGACAGAACTGTACCCAAGTGGTTTCCACAGAGGGCTTTGCACCATCAACAAGGAGAATTCCAAAGAACTGATTATTTTACCTCTCGTTTTGTGCCATTTAGATTAATTCTTTGAAGTAGTCGCCTTTCAGAGTCTACCCAATACACTTTCTCTTCTATATAATGAAAGTCCATAAGTGTTGATGGACCAGTATCAGAAACCAATCTTTCGTGATTTGTCCCTTCAGTGTCAATTCTAAAGATAGCATTTCCATGGCTAAAAAGCAGGAATGGTGCAGGCTCTGGTATGGAGAAAACAAAATAAGACCAATTAATTGATAATCACTGCATTTTTGCTGCATTAAATTCTTATCAGTTGCATACTAGTCAAAGAGAAAGTTCAAGATTTACATGTCTTTTTCCTTAATAGCAACTTTCTAGGTGTATCACAGAGAACCAGTTATATAAAAATGGAATGGTCCTTTCACATTTGATGCTGAAAATTATGGCAAAAATCTGAGTTAGGAAACTGCAATGACCCAGGTCAGAACAACAGCTACATGCTTACCAACTGAGGTTGAAAGAAGTTTTCCATGGACATGCCTCCAATTGAAGATCACTTCAAACTATTGTGCTATAGCAAGAATTTATCACAGAGAGGTAGCCTGGAACCTTCCTTTAGCTATCCAAAAAGGGAAATTGAAGATCCCAAGCAGGAAAAAGGAAGAAACTGGAGATTGGGGAGATTTCTTATTGTAATCAATTGCTGAATTGTTCCACAATGAAGAAGGAACTCTCCATTATTTGGGAATAGATGCTATCAAAGATGCACTACCACCAGTTTTCTTACACATATATCTTTGAAAATTAAACTGGTTTTATTTACAAGTTTAATATATTTTTTAACTAAATATCTTTACTATTAGCATGAAAAGTAAGGCTTTAAACTCAACAGAAAGCTCTTCTACAAAATTGAGACAGATACCTTTGTAGTTGCAAGGTTGTTTAATTCTCCTTTCAAAGCAGAGGAATGAGACAAATTTTGATTTCTCCAATTGAAGAAAGTTCTGATGAGCACACAGGATGTAATTTTGTCTTGTTCACAGGGAAGATGGACAGTGCACTCTTTCTATGCTAGCAGAATGTTTTGTATCTCAAATTTTAAAGCTATCACCTAATTATAACAGCTGCTTACAAGATTTTAATTACTTCCTTTTCCTGTTGCTAATTTAACTGAGCAACCTCATATTTGAACAATGAAGACTTGCTTCATGTGAGTGTTAAATGAACACTGAAGAGTAGCCAAGCTGATTTAACTAAGGGATTTGACAGCTACTGCCTGCAGTTTTGCCAATTAGTTGACCAAGACTATTTATACACTTTGGTTTTGTCCTTTCCACTCTCTGAATTCCCTTACCAGGTACCTATGAATGAGGGCTCTAAATGGAACAAGAACTGAACAAATCTAACTTTTGCTACAGAGGCACCAGTCAGATTTAGGACTCGGTTTTATCAGGGGTTTAATTACCAGGTAAACCATATCTGCACCAAAGATCTTCCTGTCTTTATAACACAGGAGTATTTCACCTGGTGCATCCCCCACAGAAAGGTTTATACCTGACTTAAGGGTTCCTTATCCATCACAGCAGCTCTATCTGTCACTTTCTGCTGTTACTATAAATGTTAGTAATAACATGTTAAAAAGTTGAAGTACTCCCAAATGAAGGAAACATTGTTCTTTGAAAGATACCTGTGCACAAATATCATTGGGAAGCAACACATTGGTTTTCACTTCAGTTCAGAAATGGAGAGCTTGCGAAGGAACTATGGATGTTTAGGCAGGATCACAAAAAGCCCAGTTTGGATCTTTGTGAGTTACATGTTGCTGATAATTATGATGATTCTAGGGCCTGGACTAAAATAATTGTGTTGATGACAGTCTGGGAGCTCTACAAAATAATTTTGCTTATGTTTATGGTCCCAAAATCTACACACACAGGGACTCGAGCACAGCTCCCACTTCTCAGGTCAGAAACGTGCCTTGTCACATCCCATCTCTGCATTAGCAAGATAGTCCTGGGTAAATACTAGCCAAAAAATACAAAAGTTGATGTCCTGGATCAGAAGAGAACTATAGTGTATCCCAGACAGGAACCAAAGCCAAGCATTCAGGAAGTCAAAGTGGGGAGGTAAGAGATCAACTTCAGAGCACTCCCACCTCATACTCTAGATGCAACACAGGGTTAAGCTAATCAATAAAACACAGCTCTTTTTCTCCCCCTGGGTAGTATCAGTTGACGACAAAATGAGGCTTAATCAAAGGCTGTAACTGCAAACATTTTCTTCTTAGAAGAGCTAAAAACTTTTAAATTTAAATGCATTCCGACATTTAAAAATCAATTTATGCAATCATATCAGAGGAAGATAGAAAAAACACAGTAACACTCGTGTGTTTTCGCTGCCAATGGATGAAACCAAAAATAAGGGCTTCCTGCTTCTAATCTGTCCCCAGAACCTAAACATACTGGGAAGACACCAAGGCCAACAGACTGAAAGCAGCCAAGGTAGCAGAATCTTGTGTACTGCCATGTCTTCTTGGAAGTAAGGATGGGATAAGAGAGATTACAGTTTTAAACTGGCAGAGAGGGCAAATAGGAAGTAGTTGTTAAGTTTAGTGGTTTGTTTTCATATGTTCATTCATCTTTCTACCACCATAGTTTACATTCTTCACCATCATTCTTTCATGGTATCCATTTTTGGCCTTGCCTCTTACCCACACAGTAGCAGGTTTTTTGTCAGCAAACAAGAGAACCCCAGTCACTGACTAGTTGGGACCAGCAGGCCTGGTTCACTTTGAAAAGGAATGCTAATGAATCTCTAAAGCCCTTTTTCAGTCATCAAAAAAGAAAATGTCCTTACCGTTCACATAGCAAGACTGCTTGTCAATACCCAAGGAGTAGCCAGGCAAACAGGAGCAGATGTACGACCCTGGAATATTGATACAGGTTTGGCCACAGGTTCCCAAACCACCTTCAAGGCACTCATCGATATCTGAAATAGGTATTTGAAAAAGATCAGGAAAATTCAGCTAGCAAAAGCAGTAAAGAACAAGGAGAAAAAATACCTCTGACAAACTTATCTAATAATAAATTGTCACAAAATTTAATATCACTTTTTCATCAAAAATGAAACTAGGACAGCTGTGTATTCCTTCATGCATTTGTTTCAGAGTTATTGGCGGGGGGGGGCAGGGGTAATTTATCATGGTCACATTTACAGTGATTTTCGATGGTGTTGGGTTTTTATTCTGGGGGTTTTTTGACTGTCAAGGAAAATTACCCTTCTCCCGAGTGTCTGGGCACTGATCTCTAATTGCTCAAACACAGGGAACAGACTTGTCTTGATTTGTGTCATTATTTGCTATGCAAATGCAGCTTGCAGCTGCTTGCTTCTATCTTTATCCCTTTTTCAACAGTAATAATTTTGCCAACAAATTAGCAGACTTTGCAAAACAGCAAAGCAGAAAACAGACTGTCACTGCACTGAGCTCATTTTTGTTAGAGTCAAATCTCAAACAGACATACAAAACACTAAAATTCCCACTTTATTCTGAGAGAAACAAGCCCAAACCAAGGCTCTGAGCAAATTAATTAGAAACTAGGCTTTTAACTGGTAGGTTAGGCCAGAACCTTTAGGAGTTGAAAGACATTTGACAGAAACAAGCCCAAACCAAGGCTCTGAGAAAATTAATTAGGCATTTAACTGGTAGGTTAGGCCAGAACCTTTAGGAGTTGAAAGACATTTGAAGTATTTATGGTGTTTTGTCAGGGCTTGAGGAAGTGATTATTAATTAAGCCCTAAACAAAGGAATGTGTTTTTAAAAAAAATAGATTACCACTGAGGACCTTATTTTATATTAAGGGGAAAAGAAATTTGCAGTACCATGGATAATTGTCCCACAAAATGGAGATAAATTTTAGTTCCTGCTGAAAACAAACACATCTGACAGTAACTTCCCAAGGTACTTGACATCTGACACCACCATATGCTGGTATATTTCTTGTATATTTTCCTTCTTCAACCACTGTGTGATAGTTGCTCTAAGGAGCAGCTTTTTTCTTGCGCAAGTTGTAGTTGATGTCAGTGGCTTTTGTTCTGTACTTTACCATGTGACTCAGCACATGCAGGAATAAAGGAATCAACACGTTTTGTTTTAAAGAGATACATTTGAATAAGTCACTAAAGGATGTGGATTCACAACCAAAACTAGGTCTGTGTGTGTTATTTGAGAATTCCCTTAAGTTTAAAGAAGGGCACCTTGACTACAAGGAACAGCAATTTAACCAACTCACTAAAGGCTTTGGAAGAAACTTTCTCAACTCAGGGAGACCTAAGCAAGCAGATCTCTGATATCCCGTGGTTCTGCAGACCAGTTTCCTGAACTGCTTTAAGAAACTATGCTTAGAATGAAGTGTTCTGAAGGGTTTCATCTATGCCCAAGTACCAAAGGTGTTCAAAAAGAATGTCAATGCTTTTCAGCACCTATTGTGTCTGTACCAACTAGGGAAGGCTTCCACATTGTTTACAGAGTTTTCCCACAAGCTGGTGCTCCAAATAGCAGCTGAACTAATTTGACAATGTATGAAATGTAATCAGAAAACATGCAACTGATTTTTGTTTGATTGCAAAGATAAAGCAGAAACATTTTCAGCATCATAATTCCATAAAGTACTCTCAGTCTAACCCAAAATTTTCTCCAAACAATCAGCTTTCAGGAGCATGGGGCTGAAAATGGAACAAGAACTGAACTCTCAGTCTAACCCAAAATTTTCTCCAAACAATCAGCTTTCAGGAGCATATTTTCCCACATGCACTAGGATTGTACATTCCATTCTCCATGGCATTAAAAGAGAAACTCTTCCAAATCCCCTCTGGGAAGGTTTGATGGGCTTAGAATTGTGTTAATGTGCTACAGACACCACGGGCTCCAGGTCACCACTAAAACTAGATACTCCTGGCAAACACTGCCTGGATGCCACTGGAGCTAAAGGGCTCTTTGATAACCATGGGGAGAGGGCTTTGATGACCTCAGCTCCTTGTCCAGCTGGTTGTCCATGCTGTCTGACATGAACACTGTTTGCCACTCTCTCCCTGATTCACTGGTTATTAAATCAAGTAACTGGCTGACTAAGCTGGGCACTTGACCTGATCCAGCCACCAGCACCACAGCAGGTATGAGAATGTGTTGATAATGTAGTTTATGTTTGTCAATACACTTTTGTGACAGTAATAGCTTGCTAAATGAACCTGAAGTTATTTCTCTGTGGAAATCACGGTTATGGGTGGAAAAGGCAACCGTGTAGATATAGGATTGCTAAAGAGAGAGGTTTTTTGACTGAGCAATGTGAAGCACTGATGACCTATTATTCCATCACAATAAAGAGCACATTAACTAAGAGTAAAAAAAATGGGCCTGGCCTATAGATTGGATCTGAAAGATTGCTTTCTCTGAGAAGGATTTCATACTGGACAGAGAGCTGATCTCTTAGCTTGTTACTGGGCAAGAAAATTCAAATCACAATGCAAACACAGGAGATATTAATGACTGTGAGGAAAAAAATGCTTTTCTGTATGGCAGTGGTCAGACTGCCATGGCATATATTGGCATGCTGCTTGTATTTCTCAAATAAAGGTTGTTAAGGGATCGTGAAAAATTAGAAAATGTATACAACAAGGATAGAAAGCCTGATTTAAAGATAAAGAAAAGTGCCTTTCTGTGAGAAATTCAAGAGCTCAGAATACTTAAATTATCAGAAAGAAGCTTGGAAGCAAGATTAAGCACCACAAATTAATACCTTCACAAGGAAAATGTAGCAGATTTTCTAAAAGACACCATAATCTTTTTCAGGAACAACTTAACAAGCATTGATAGCTGAGAACTAAAGCCAGGGAATTCAAATTCAGACATTAAATTCACATTTTAACAGGAAGGGGGAATCACCAAGGGAACAAGTTACCAGGGAAAACCCTGAAGGCAGTGAATATTCTAAAGGCAGGGTCAGACTGGGAAGACATGCTTTACCAAACACAGGTTACTGAGCAACAGGCCAAGGTAAAAGGACAGCGACCTTTTATTTCCAGGGGGGATTTTCCAGATTTATATCAGTATACAAAGCTAAGAATGAGAACACTGATTGATCAGAATTTACTACAGGAATTTACACTCTTTCCTCAGTAAATGTACTTGAAGAGAAGATTTCAGGGTTATCACCCTGTCCATTTTCATCACCACCAAAATTCACACAGTAAAAGCAAATCCCACACATACTGAAAAGCAAGCTGTGGCTCCAGCTGAGGAAGGGCTCTCATGGAAGGAGAGCTGCCCAATAAATAGCAGGGGCACAGGGCCACAGGCAGCTCAGCCACTGGACAGTGCCCTTCCAGTGGTAAATAGGAAGAGCCAAGAGACACAGTGTTATTGTGAAGCAGGCCACAGCACTGTGAACGTTCAGCATTTATGGCTTTAACAATGGAAGAGGATCCTATGCTTAACACCCTCTCTTCTTTGTTTAAAGTAAAAAAAAAAAATCCAACCAAAAAACTCAAAACCAATCAACCAATCAAACCACCAACCTCAAAACAAAATAAACAAGAAAAAAGCTGGTTTTTGAGGTTTAGGAGAACTCAATCACAAAACCATCCATCAGGTGTAACTAGCAGTGCCTTCATCTGCACTTTTAGTGCCAAAGGAAAGCATGGAGTTGCATCCTGTTGAAGCTGTTTTACGTGTCCTGGCAACCACATCCCCCAGTGGGAACTTTACCCTGTGAAAGAAATCGGCTTAGTGAACACAAAAGCTGTCTGCAATGCCCTGACAGCCAGCTCTGAAAGGAAGAATGAGGTTCTGCTTAGTTCTCAAAGACTTCTTTATGCAAAACATGCCTTGAGAATCAGCAAAAACGATGAATCATGTCATCACGATGTTGGCAGCTCTCAAAGACTTTGCATACAAATATACTACTTTATTGAGAGTCCTGAGAAAGGCTCTGGTTGCAGAAGGTTGAAGCATTAGTATGCCTGGCAGGGACACAGAGAAACCACAGTGAGCCAGAACTTGAATTTCATTATGGCCCCAAATACATACATTATATACACAAAGTATATGTGCAGATACATACACTCAAATAACCCCATGCAAATCTAGCTCCTGGTGAGTTGGACTTGTGATTAATTCAATCAGCTGTATCCAACCACCACCACCATAATCATTTCAACAAGGCCGAATATGAAAATTCATCTGGGTGACAAAGAAAGCAGCCCATCACTTTTATCTATTGTGTTTAAAACATCCAGCTCAAAGAACAGAAGATGGAAATGAAAAAATACACTCCAGATACCAGCAGGTCAAAATGAAACAGATGATGCACAGTTCAGTATGTTGTATCAACAGTTTTAAATGAGAATTAAAATAGAACCTGATCACTCACAATTTTTGAGAGAGTAGAGGCTATGAAATGCTCACGTACGATGGTAAAAAATACAATATGTACACAATGAGGGCATTGCAACTCCTGGTGTCTTCCAACCCAGAGGTGATCATGTCACAAATATGGGACCAAGTGAGAACATATGATTTATCAAGTATAAAATCAAATCAAATTTAAAATTGAAATACAGTTTAGAAAACAGTTGCAGACATCTTGTAGAGAAAAGGCAAAAAAGATCCCCAGGAACAACAGCATCTTTTTTTTTTTTCCCTTTCTGAACTCTGATCTAGTGTTTGCTCACTAGAATGGAAAAAAAAATTCTACCTTTGAAATACATTCTATGTGAAATAAAGTCTATGTGTAAATTAGTAGCTATAAAATAGACCTCTACTTCCTGGATCCTGCAACTTCCAACATATCATTACTGGCTTGCCTTTCAAAGATGGAGGCCATGAGACATCATCAAATACCATCATCCAGCTCCCATTAAAATCAGATTTCAAATTGGGTACTAAAAAGTAATCAGGTTTTTTTTTAGAACAGAATACAAAATTAGTAACTGCTATTTTACACTGGGCAAAACAATGAGTTTTTTAATATTAGTCACTGGCTTGGGAGTCTGCCCCTTAGCCCTCTTTAGTATTAGGCATCATGTGATGGGTGATGCCATTTCTGTCTTCTCTTGTAACATATTTGCCTCTTTCCTATTTTGATCCAAGTTTTTACAGCTGAAGATAGTATTTCTCCACATTCAGCTGGATCCATCAGAATGTGAATCTTCTCATGAATTGGTCTGTGGTTCAGACCCATGCTCAAGAATGCCTGACTACTATTTGGTAAAAACATTTACAAGCTCCTTTCCCCAAGTCGGTATAATAAGAAGTGAGCTAGCTGGAAGAGAGCTACTGAAAACAAGGAAAAACACACCTCCAACTGCAGCCCTTCTGAAATACAGAGAGAAGCACAGGCATCTTATCAGGTTTATCCCTGTCATGACAGGGGTAGGGAACAGTTGCCCATTTCTTTGGCTCTTACTGCTCCTCGTGAGATGCTTGCAGAGAAAGAAAGGAGAGTTAAAAAGGTTTTGGCATTTCATATTTCTCAGAATACACACAAGAAGTTTTAACAGCATGTCTTCAGAAGTATGGAGTAAAGTGAAGACAGGATTTAGTTCATTAAGGGGAATTTAAAGATGTAAAACAAAGACTAATAACTTTACGTTCTTCATCTCTGTGGTAGGAGAGAGGTGAACAGGAAGATAGAAAAGTGTAAAGTTGGACACACAGAAGGAAGCATGTGACCAAAAGAGCTGACCTAGATAGCTGCAGTTGTCACCTTCAATTGCAGGCTGTAGCACTGTAGGAATGAGCAGCATGTTGGCCCTGTAGAAGTGACAAGGGCTCAGCAGTTAATGTCAGGGTTTGGTAGAGATGTGCTGAGTTTAACAACCTATGATTAGGCAAAACCTCAATAATATGGCTTTTGTCTTGCCTTCTTCCAAGACTTTTTTACAATACTGTTGGGTATCTTAAAAGTTATTATCTTTCTTCATTTTTCAAACTTACACAGTATTTCATGTCAGCCCTGAAACCAAAGTACACTTCCAGTCTTGCAGTATCCAGAAGATCATATGTATACTTAGGGTAGCCCAAGACTAACAGACATTAATATCTACTATAAAACTGATAATGGCCTTCTTCAGACAAACATGGAAAACTTTTTCAGTCTTGAGGATCTAAGCATCTGTGCACCATGAGAGAATAAAAAATACTGTTGTTAACGTGGTGTTTCAGGAGGGCACAGGAAACTGATTCCAGCAGGCACAGGCCTATCCTCTGGTACTCCGTGTTATGCTTACGTTGTCAAATATGTTACAAATCAAAGCTCTCCTGGGACCAACCATGCACATGTTTTTTTTTCCTTTGTAGCAATAATAGCTCCTTTGTAGGTCAGACTATTTTTTTTCAGAGGTAGAAGGTTCTATGTTTCCACTGGGGTCTACAAAACATGAGTTACTAAAGGTGACTGATCCGCAGTTCTCACAGCATCATAAATAAGTTATTAACTCAAGATGGCCTATCAAAAAATGCAAAAGTGCTTCCAATTCTGCCATAACTTGTCAATATATTGATGCATTCATTCATCAGTCAAGCTTTGCCTGACCTTGTGATCTCTTCTCCCATGCTTTCTTTCCTATAAGCCTTGCTGTTTTGGGACTAACAGCACCTCAGAAAGGCCCCTTCTCTCTTGTCATAACAAGTCAGGATTCAAATAATCTCTCTTAAAATAACTGTATAAAATTATGTGAGACATTTAGGGTTAAATTTCATTATACTTCCACAGAATGAGGAGGGCTGTGATCTTTGAATATCCATAGAAATAAAAGGAACTAATTAAGGAGTAAACTATTTAGCAAATGTAAGAAGATGACCTAGACCTTCATCTTAAACCACAGTGTGGAAAACGGATCTAGAAAAGCCTACACACATTCTGGCAAGTATCACTTGTAACAGCTCACTAACAAAGAGCAGACACCTTCTCAATTCAGGGGAATCCTTATGGCTGGCAGGTTGCCACCACAGCCTCAGATGATTAAGAACATTTTGCAATTGGTGTATCTATTACAGCTCGCCAAGAATGGTGGCCAAGCCACCACTCAGCTTGCTGTCATTGTTCACAGTTCAGTGGTATGAATCACATCTCCCACTCACCACTTTTATCTCCAGTATTACCTTCAAAGCCTGCCTCCAGCTTCCTGCCACTTGCTTCCACTGCACCCTCTGCCTCACTTAATTACTGAACTAGAATTACTGAACTAGAATATCACACATCCGGTCTTCTGCTCAGAACATCACTTGTGAGCCCAGGACACAGAGGAAAGAGGAAGGGAAATCCCTTACACCAAAGCATCCTGCAGTCTTACATTTCATGTCAAAATTTCACCTTTGCTTAATCTCCTGTAATCCAGTGGCCTGTAATTGAAAAATTACTGTAATGCTTCTCATTTTTCACTTACTCTGTGTCATATGGAATTGCTCAGAGTATGTCACAGTAATATCAACTCTTATGCAGGAGATTTCTTCTGCTGTTATTTCTTGGAGAGTTTGCTGAGCTACTTGCCAATCTGTTTCAGTGCTTTATCTAGTTCTTCATTCATACAGCAGGTAATTTTCAACAGAAAATACTTTATGCAGTGCTGGTTATGTCTTCGTTAATGGAAGAGCAGTATGCATCAATGCGCAAAATATGTCCACTGAGAAAAAGAAAAGCCTTTGCAGCCTTTTGCATATTAATATTTAGAGTGGGTTTCTGCCTCATTTAACAACAGCCAAGCAATTCCCTTCATCTCAGTAGGATTCTCCCATTATATATGAGCTCTTAATTGGGAAACCCAGTAATGCAGAAGCCGTAACTAATGGACATCCTAAAGAGCTCTTGGAAGCTAAGTACGTGCTAGCAAACGGATCCATAGGAAAGGCTGTGTAAACAGCAACAGCCTCTAAGGATATGGCACACCCACTGCATGTATTTCAGCCTGAACTTGCATAGAACCAGGCCTAGGCTGGCCCCATGGACCAAATGGCAACCAACAGCAAAGAGGGGAGAGGATCCCTATAGGGACACCCTCTGGTTTTAGTTTGCCTAAAGGAAGCCCAGTCTGTGCACTTTGAGAGTGCTTTTCAACATGAAGCAAACATAGTATGAGGTGGCAACATGGAGATTAATTTCAGAAGTGTGCTTGTCGTTTGAACTGAAGCATCAGGGTAGGAGCACTCTAGGTGTGTTTGGCTGTCAGATAAACCTTCAGTCAGGTTCACAATTTGTATACAAGAAAGCCCAGCTCCTCCCCCCTCAATTTGACATCATTTAACATGCAGGCTTCTATTTTGTGCTTAGGAGATGGTGTTTCTTGGCAGAAAGCACAGAGGAAGCACCCGTTACTGCATCACTAGAATCATGACAAGAACTGAGTCAGAGCCTCTGAAGCCCAAGGAATCCAAGGCAAAAGCATTAACTCCAAGTATGAGGAGCTGCTTGAATCCTTTCAGAGCATTTCCTCATCTCCCAGCTGCAAACCTCACAACTTCATTGGCTCTGGATTTCTTGAAAAAATTTGACCTCACAGTAGAAGGGGAGGGAGAAGGGTCCTGTCATCCTTTGTCTTACACTTTGTAAAAAATAGGAATCTGCATTTTATGTGCACAAAATCACTGGAGGTGATTACAGGAATGTTAGTGTTGCACATTTCTCCCAGACCTCCCTACCGCAGTATTAAGCACACCTGTTATTCATGTATTGTATGAGATACATTATTAGCATGAGCACATACACTTATATGTAATAATAACCATTAAAAATAGGTTTTAAAGTTATCTAGCACACATCTAAATGCATACTAATACATAATAATTAAAACACTCTTCATATATGTATACAGAAACATAAAAATACACCTGTACTCAAAATTTACATATTGAAGCATGAATACATGCATGCTCATGTACTGAAACTGTGGAGACACTAAAGCTATAACAAGGACTTTGGGTAACTGGAGAACAGTTCGTATCTCTTAATGATCATATGAAAACTTATTCTGCTTTCTGATAGTTAAACCAACAGATAAGTGCTGATTTCTGAAAGAAAAAAAAGGAGTTCTGTTCATTTTGAAATGCAACAGATATTGAGAAGCTGATTTATCAGTTCTGCCAGTACAACACACAAGCAATCTGTAAAAAAACCTTTCAAAAATTATAAAGCTAAATTAAGAGAGCATAAATGCAGTTTTTTTATCTGGGAATGTTCAGCAACTTACCTACACAAGCAGAGTTTTCAGGATTTAATCTGTATCCATTAGGACAGTTCCAGTGCTGCAGAGCTGAGAGGCTGACAAAACCAATTTTAAAAGCCACTGGCAAAAACACAACAAGGAAGAGAAACATAATCTTGAGGGGTTTTTGAGCTGTCACTAGAGAAAAACTAGCTTGTATTCAGTCATATCCAGGACAAGATGAGCATGTGTAATCCCAAAAGTTTTCTGCAATCTGTCACTTTAGACTCTGACATCTTATCACAATTTCAAGTTTTATCTTTGCCTTGCTTTTCTTGTCACTTTAGACCTTACTGTGTCTGACTACAACCTTGAAGAAATTCCTGGGAGATTTCTTCCCCACACACATCAGGGCTTTTTTTCTCTTGCTCTTTCGTTTCTTTTTTTTCTCTTTTGGAAGCCAAGTATGAAATGCCTGACACTCTTGCCACAAATTTAACACAGCTTAAAAGCCAAGGATCACTTCAAATTTCCTTGCAACAAAGCTGCTGTTTAAATCTTTAAAGCAGAGAATTCAGAAAGCTCTTCAGCACAGCTTTCAATGGAGCGCAGGGAGCAAAATCTCCAGGTACCGTCCTTCTCCGAAACGCAGTTGTTTTTTACATCCCGACTTGGATGGACTCCTCTTTTCTTTTTAAAGCTCTGCTTGCCCCACCTCTTCTCTTTTTAGTACCACTTGAGTGAGCCCTGTGTTTGCACATAGTAATGTGGTCAGTTCCTTACTACAGGGAACTGAGCCAGCATGCAGATATCCAGCCACCCATAATAAATACAGTCTCTTTAGAAAAGCAACGCCTCCTGCTTGAGAAGTACCTGCAGCTTGCCAGCTTAGATTTTTTCCACAGAGATTGTAGGCAAATTTATTCAATTTTTTCATGTTCATTTTCAATTGGTTGCATTCCTCTTAATAGCACCATGTGTTTTACCACCAGAAATTAATTTTGTCATCAAAACATTTCATGCAAAAATCAGGAGAAAAAATCTCTCTGGTTTCTCTGATGTATTTTTACTGGAAATCCAAATCAGCTTAAGGTCAAGTTCTGATCCAGGGTATGTGTTTGTAATTTTTAATTTGAAACTCTCTCTCAGGTCTGAATTTGGCCCTTATGCATTTCCAGAAGAATAGCTGGTGTCAGAGACTGGGGTAATGTGTTCTCAGCCTGTATCACCCACAGAAGTTGCAGTCATTTACATGGACACTGATGCTGCACAAGGCTGCTGTTGGGGTGTAATGCTCTTTTACACCTGTTCCACTGAGGTATAAAAACTAGACAAATTCCAGATGCTCATAATTCTTCAGTATTGAGAATACCTCCTTTTCCCACTCCATCAGCCTAGACCAGCAAAGCTCTAAAGCAAAAGCATAACTTTGTGCTTCTGAGATTTACTGAATTTTGAAAGTGCTGAGATTTAAGCATGTGTTTAAATGGTTGCCTGTGCCAGGCTGTGTTGAGCTAACTACTGTGAGGCAATCTGGTTCTGCCACTTTTTTCTTTCCTTTAATTTTCAAAATTTGTTTCTGGAATGTTGTGTTGGAATGAATACTCACACAACAGCTGGATACAGCAGCAGCATCAGAAGGTACCTACTACTGTACAAGTTCTGTCTCTCCTCTCCTCTCCTCTCCCCAAATTTTTCTGAATCATTAGGACTCCAGATGTAGTGTCAGAAAGCAGGATTAAAACCTGATTATGAATTGGGCCACTCTCCACTGAAAGTAACAGTTTCTTGATGTTTCTGTCTCTGTGCAGGCACATTCTGGTCTCTCAACCTTCACTGCTACAGCCCCTGCAATTAAATCCAGACTGACAAATGGCAGCCACATTTCCATACACTCTGTTCAGAACCCAGTCTTTATCCCACATGCTATGCTATAAAATACAATAACAGTAATGTAAATTATGCAGGGCCAGACTCATGCCAAAGAGCATTTGCTTCTCCAAATAGTCCCTGGGAATACAAAAGGGCAAACAATGTGAAAGCACAGTATAATGCCATCCCATCTAGGATTACAGGATCCTGCTCAGGAACTGTGGTATGTTCCACATGAACCTCTTTTACTAATTCTGCAGTCATCAGTTCCTCCTCACACAATTTTCTTCACTGTTCAAGCTGGGAGCAAGCAACCCTGACAGTTTAAAAGGAATGTGTCACCTCTTTGTGAGCAGCCACCAGCAGAATGTTTGCCAGACCCTGAGGGTGGCCATCCCAGCACATCCCTGACCTCTTCCAGGGCAGACTCAGACAAACTTATTGAAGGAGACAAAGTGAATAAGCTCTCCCTTTCCTTTTAAAACTCAGAAACAATTTCTGTCTCACATTCTTTCCATCTCTCATTTACACACGTCTTTTCTGAACATCTCCCTCAATCTTCCCCCACTGCTCCATTTCTACATTTGCCTTTACACAAAACACAGCACGTCCCAGAATTTTTTTTTCCTTCTAAATTAAATATAAATATAGAACTGTCTGGCATGCCAATACCCCCACAACATTTTTTGAAGGAAGAGAACCCTTTACTTTAGCCAGGTAGAGACCAGTTAATAAAATTGTTAATTTTACTATCCTAGAAGTAAAGGAATGGCTTAAAAAGTGGAAGAAAAAAAAATCTTAATAGTGAAATAATTTTTTTTTTACCCTTAAACCCCAAATTTAACTTGGACCAGAACTAGTTACGAAACCCACAGTATGATATGATGTGATCTAGTCCAAAGAAGGTAACTATCCATTTGGAAGTGCATAGAACCAATCACCTCCCCCTACAACAAACCAGAAAGTGCTCAATAAAGTATTAAATCCATCAGGCTTTTACACTTTTAAAACATATTGTTTTTCACCAGTTGGTTCAGCATACTGCTCACAATAATTCCTTCACACCTGAAGTCATTAAGCATTTCAGAAGTTGTTCAAATAAGTTTCTAAAAAGCAAATTTTTGTGCTCACCTTCAGGTATTAAGTACAGCAATCTACATTAGTCTGGCACTCATATGATAAATTAGACCAAATTAGCTCTACAGTCCAATTTGCAGGGGTCACTGCAGAATCAGTCCCAATGATCTTAAAATAATCCCAGTTCATCAAATGTGAAGAATTTAGTTGAATTTTACTTGCTGACTCAAGACATTTATGACCTAACAGCAAATAGGTCATAATGACAAATATCCACTGGATTTTTTTGGAAGTTTGAGTACCATAATTTTTCTGCTATGGTTGCATTTTTTCCTACTCAAACTGATTTTAAGCAAAAGAAAAAGTTTAAATAATCTGTGTTTAAAGCATACTGTTAACTATAGGCAATAGTATCTTTTTCAAAGCAGTTTTACACTGAACATTTTAACAGGCACCTTTCACCAGCTGCTATACAGTAAATGCTTGTTTCATCAGCTAGACCACACTGGAATCCACAGAAAAACCCAGAAAGAAAGTTAAATGTGCTTTCTCTTCTATCCCAACAGCCAGAACAAGAGTGAAACATTCTGGGGAAGCCACATAGCACATTACTGACTAATGACATTTATCAATGTTAGATGACTACTTCAGGCCTCTATGTTAACAGACAAGAAGGGGCAGTTAAAATAGCACGTTGAAACAGCCAGTTGGCTCTGAGGTGGAAACAAAACTGAAGATAAAGCAAGTCATTTTTTGCCATGAATAAGATCTATGCAGCTTGCTATGTGAGAGCATTTCACAAAGGATCTTAGTAACAGGTATGGCATTAGTTCACTATCAGAGTTAAAAAATGTATCCTCTCTGTGTTTTGCTCTTTCTATCCCAAGGATAGCTCTGTTTCCCTAGTACACATACTAGAACAGCTGCTCTAGCAGATCTCAGAACAAAGGCACTGGTTGAAATCTAATTTCATTAATTTTTAGAGTTCCTGAGCACTCACCATTTACTCTGATACCAGTAAGAAATTAGGAATTTATCTGTCAGTCCATAGGCTCTTATTTGAAGTCCATCTACCACAGATATTGCTACTTTTACTTTTTTCATCCCGTAAGTTCTGGCCTGTGGAGGTCAACAATTAAATTTACTTTTTTTCGTCAACTTTTTCCACCTCATTACAGACCTTTTCAGATGATTTATTCTTCTTATGACCACAGAGAATAAAGAGCAGGGAACATTTTATAGTTTTGTTTCATAGTTGCCATGCTGACTATGTGGAACAGAATCACGGCACTTACCAATCCTGTTCACTTTGTCCAATTAACTCCATTTCACCTGGTGCATCTATAGCAGCAGTGTGGCACATTTACACAAACCCACATCTCCATAAACTTACATCTCTCTAGCACGCCTTAAAGACAGAATCAAACAAGATGGACAACAAATAGGAGTAGAAACAGGCATTGTTATAGTCAGCTTTCCCCAGCAAAAGCACCTGAGGTGAATCCAAGACTGGAAGTGTCTTGGATTGAAAACACTTCCAGTCTTGAATTGAAATTCAAGAGAGAATTGAGTCCTTGCCAGTGCCCAGCACTGAGCTCCTGCAAGCAGGTTGCAGGATGCTCAAAGTTGCTGCCATACTCAAACTCTCTGAAGGAGGCAATGACATCCTGAGCATGTTGCAAGCCACATCCTCTTTGTGGAAGTTCATTATTTTCCTACAAATGCCCTTGCAGCTGGTGTCAGAGGGATTTTCTGGTGAATTGGTGGGCAACCAAGAGTAGGTATAGTAAAATACACTTCTGGCTGCTGGGAATGTTAAATTTTCCTACAATTCACAGAATAGATTCAAGAGATCTCTGGAAGAAACCTTTTCCTGATTAGTAGATATTTGAGCATTGAGCATCTCCTGAAGTATTTGCTCAGAGCCTGCTGAAAGTAAACTTGCACTTAGAAGTACAAGTTTTTGATATAATGGCACTTCTTCTGTGAGACAATTTTACAGGTGCAATATAGAACAAAAGCAAAATAATAAATGGGGGTCAGACCCTACCCACAGTGCCCAGAGTGGATTTCTTATACCAAGTTGGGAAGAAGTTGGCACAGAGTGGTCAGCAAGGGCTCTGCCATGCAGGAGGCAGCTTGACCTGAGAGCACCTCAGGGAGCCTCACAGCTGCAGGCAGAGCAGTGCCAGAGCCTATCACAGACCCAAATGCCTCCGTGAGCGTGATATCCCAGGACTTGGCATCCAAATGCTGCAGCTACCAAACACACCCTGCTTGAGGCCACAGCTGCCAGCTCTCCATCTAAACAGGGACAAGGAGAGAAGAGCAATGGGGAAAAAGGCTGGGGCATTAAGCACAAGCAATAACCCACATTATATTTAGCTTTCAGATAATGGTTCTGTACTTCAAAGCCTTGAACAGATTCCATATTGCTGGTTGGAGTGTGAATATGGAGGCTTCAGGTCAGATTCAACTGACAGTGGTGATTTCAGGAAGGGGAGAAACCATACTTTGCAGTTGTCATTTTCCCTCTGGAGTCCTGTAAAACATTACTGCACCACAGGAATCCCCCGAGACTGCCTACAGGAGTCAGAAATTGTATTATTTCTACAGTAAATTTGAAGAAATTGAAATGACCTAGCAAAGGCTTGGTCTCAGGGACTGACCAGGAAAGAATTAAGAACTGTGCTAAGCATTAAGG